AATGCAACAGTAAAGAAAATTACCCCAGTTTATTGATGCATTTAAATTGCTAAACATTTGCCATATGGATTTAGAAAATACATAAAGTACAAGCTACTTTGTAAAACCAAAGACAAACATTGAATCCAATGATAAACTGTTTTCACAATGGACCCTTATCCCATATAGTTAGTAATAAATTTTAAATATCTATTCTTTGTTTTCTTAAAACTGATTTTACATAACCCTCAGAACACCGGCAACACAAACAGATTGATAAAATTCCAAGGAACTACATTTATAGCCACTTGGGGGGGGAAAATATATAAAAAAAAAAAAAAAAAAAAAAAGCACATCAATATAAAATAGGAATTGTTAGGTTTGAACACAGCAAATAGCATATTGAATACATTTAATAAAATGAAACATTGCAATATCAATGATTAAAAGCAAAAAAAAAAAAAAAATATATATATATATAACACTAACATTACATAAAATGCACTGCTACATGTAGTGATCAACATTAAGCCAGAAAAAAAAAAATTAGGTCACTCATAGTAGTAAGTTATGTATTACAAGAGATTGTTATATTGGGTTTAGGAAATTCTCTATATGTATACATTGCCGGTAATAAGATGAAGACAATTACAAATGTATTTTCCATACTCCATCCCTTTTCAGAATTAGTTTCAGTGCCAGGCTTTAAAAATGGTACACAAATTCTAGTTCACACATGTCATTGTTCTGGAATATTATCAGTGTCTAGTTTTAAAAAAGAAAACTAAAAATAATGCCGTAAGACCAGAAAAAAAAAAAATAATTCATACAAGAAAATGCAAAGAAAACACGCACTTTTTTTTTTAACAAGACACTTTTAACTCATAAAATAAATGCATTTTTTAAAACATAAAAAAGGGAAATGTTTGGGTTGCAAGCTAAATAAATGGATTTATAGGCCTAAGGAATGGCAAAAAAAAACAATATATACATACCATATATGAACAAGATTACAAAAACTTGCATAATTCATACCAGAAAAAAAAACCCTGAAAACTAATCTAATTTTTTAAAAGTTCAAAAATAATATGAAATCAAAGCACTAAAAGAATTATTATATACAGCTTTGTTAGCCAGTCTAAGGTTAAAAGCCCCCAAAATTGATACTCCTGTATTGAGTTCATCCCTGCTGCTTACACCAATTCCATATTGCCACACTTCAGGGCACAGCTTCAAGCCCAACCACTGAGGAGCCAACTGGTGTTTTAGCCCAAATAAGCAAGTTAATACTGAACTATCAGTGTTGGGTGGGTTTATCCTTTAAAGCCAAGGTATACAGTCCTTTTCGCTTAAGTTACATCTGGGAAGGGATATCACAGACACCTGCTGTGTTTGACCTCTTCCTTACACATTGCTCTATACACAGAATGAGCCACCTGCACTCACAGTAATACAATACAAAATCCAGAGCTTTGTTTAGACTTTTCTCATGGTAAAGGGCCTTTGTGGCAGTGTAATATTTACTTGCTAACATATGAAATTATTTTCCCTGAATTGTATAGCTTCAACGAACTGTAGGTGCTGGTAAACTACTGGGTGGGAATTCAGCTCCTCAAGGAGCTGATAATCCAGTAGTATACCAAACATGTTCAGCAAAGTATTGTACAACAGGGAATCCACAGTGCGACTAGCAAGATTTGTACACATTTGCCTATAATTTTGTGGTTGCTTTTTCTTGACCAAATAATGAATATATGTATTCATTTGAACAAAAAGGTAAAACTTTGAAAGACTTGGCAAGACTTCTGAATGTGTATATATTGCACTCTATGGTAACGGCAAACTTATAAATGAAAAAAACAATAAAAATATCGAATGACAGTGACTGCAGCTGGGATATAACTGGATAATTTAAAGGGGTTTCTTAAAGTGAGCTTTATTTTGTGATTACTGTAGTAACACACAAGGATCCTATCGCAAGCACAGTACCCTCATAAGCAACAGCAGATAACCAATTAGATGGTGCTAAAATATTTATTTCACCCACAAGATGCTCATAGTGAAGTCTGAAACTGTTAACAGTCTCCGTGTTTCTATGTGAGGGGACTACAGCAGAAATCCACTTATTAGTCAAAGTGAAAAACACCATAAAAGCAAAAAATACACAATACCTTGATTTGCCTAGCCTAAGAAAATCAACATTTTACATGTGATCTTGTAAAAACTGGTACCCTAGTATAACATTATACCAGCCATAAAAACACAATTACTACACAAAGCTTTCTTTGGTATAAACATCCTGAAACTAACTTGAATGGATTCTCACAAGGAATGTCATTAATCTCAGGGTCTGGTTCTAGTAGGGGATTCATTGTCGATATGAAGATGGATCACTAAGAAAAAACTACACCCAAGTCTTGAAAAATTAGCAATGCCTATCTACAACACTTAACAGTTTGTGTGCCTGTGTAAGAAAGCAGGAAAGAAGCAGCAAGTGTTAAACATACTCTAAAGCATAACTTTTACATAACTTTTACTACTAGAGGGGAAGGGGGGGGGGGGGGGGGGCAGCTTGGATCGTACAACTTTCTAGCTTCACTTAACTCTGCTCCAAGGTTTTTAAGAATTGCTTCTATTTAAAGGGGCTTGCCAGCCCTATAATAAGGCAAGCATACTGTAAACTAATCACTACGTTGGCATTTAAGGCACTACATTAAGTGAACATACATGAAACAAGTATTCACCATACATACCTGTGCAAAACAACTCAGTTATCATTTACTCACTACTACGTGAGTACATTTCAGAAATTATTATATATATATTTTATATATATACTTATTCATCAGTGCTACAGTGATAAAACTAACTGTTCACATACATTCCCACAATTTTGGTTTAAAAAAAAAAAAAAAAAAAAAAAAAAAAAACGAAAAAAAAAAAAAAAAAATTCTATTATATATAAAAATCCTAACCACTACCCACCCCCAAAAACTAAGACAAAAAGTACACATAGGTTCAAGTATTACTAACATTTTGGATTACAAAGACAATTTTATGTACAGATGCACTTGGGGTGACACGACATACTGCGCACCACTCTGCCGCTCCAAGGAAAGCCTATTTTCTTCTCTGCGTCTTTTAAAATGGTACATCTTTTCATTGTGTAAAATATGAAAACACCACCAATACAAAACTTCAAAAATAGTTTGAAATTCTGTATGAAACTTTAAAGTTTTTTTTATCTTTCATAATTCCAGCTTGGAGAAGGCTGAAATAAGAGCGTGACAAAAGCATGCTAAAGCAAGCAGGAGTGACTTTACAAAGAATGATTTCCGTGACCATAGAACGGAAGAGCTCCTATGCATGCAAGTAGTCTTAGTCCATCTGAACGACTATCTGAAGTCACAGTTTTCTCCTGTGTATTAACTTAGTTTGTATACTTTGCTATGTCCACAACTGTTCACTGGATTAATACAAAAGAATAATCCAGAATGCGGGCAAGGAATGCATATACTGCAAAAAACAAATCAAAGCAATGAAAATACAAAGAATTCTCCAGACATTTAAAGAAGGTAATAACTGCTTATTTTATTTTCATTTCACTGTAATTTTGTACTTGCCCATTTAAAAAAAAAAGGCATTAAATTTAAAATGCATGGTACAGATATATAGTTTTTTCATATTTCTACGAGGCTTCTAAACCTGTTCTGAAAATATCTTATGACATGAAAATATGATCTTCTGATGCTGCATAAAGCAAACTTTTGATGCTGCCTAAAAAGTACTGCTCTATGCAACCAATCATTTTCAGCTAAGAGATTGCCTGCAGTGGCTAACCAGAATTATACTGTTAGAAGTGTGTCCTCTTTGTGCAAGACATTTTCAGTTAGGATAAACCTGCAACATTTTACATTCATACTAGTGAATGATATTAAAGGTTAGCTCAGCAACTTTTAGGGGCATTTAAAAATACTACAATTTACTTGGGGTGTAGCCTTACAGTTAAAACAATAATTACATGCAGTAATTCATAACAGCCAAATTTCTGCTTCATGACTCATGGAGGTCAGTTTTGAGCCGTGAACAGCAAACTGGCCCATTACCAAACGTTAATATTTTCTGCATTGTCATGAAATAAAATTCTAAAAGATTAAAATGTCCTTAAAAAGAATTCAGAATGGTGTTTCAGGGAGCCTCATTGGATTATCACTTACAGACCTTTTATACCAAAAATTGATGCACTTTATGGAACGTTCAGATTATGCCATCATTAGGCAGATTCATGTTTTCATGTTAAAGTTGCTTTGCGCATAATTTACTAAAGCCAACAAAAGCAGTTTGGCCGATATTTAATAAGCGAGGACACAGACCTAGATATAGCTACATGTCATATTTCATTATATTGCAAACCTGGAATAAAGTTGCATATTTTGTCCTGTGTCAAACTAACTTCCAGTGAAATAATTCTGATCTGGAGCACTTTAACTAAGCAGCTATTACCTTTCAGATGACAAGTCTGTGAAAAGCATAATCCAATATTTAAAAAAAAAAAAAAATCTTATTAAAATTTAAAGTTTTAAAATTTTTTTGAATACTTCATGTGTTACACAATTCTAAGAGTAAGCTTATATAATTGTAAATATTAAATTCACACTAAAAGAAAAAAAAAAAATATGATATAAAAAACACTTAAAACCCAAAAAAAAAAAAAAAAAAAAAAAAGCAGGAAAACAGGGAAGAATGTTATTGCAGTCCACAGCAATCCATGATTGAAGCCCAGCTGGTAGCAGTGCAGTCTTTACATGGAAGGAGCTATGCCAATGATGCTACAAAAAATGTAATACACAGATCCACAGAATGATTTAACACTGAACAAGCTTATCTGACTACAACAATGCAGTCACTAAAGAAGAGAACCCCTTTTCCTTCAAGCGTGCTTCTAACAAATCCTGCTGTATAACAGTCAAATATTTAAAAAGGAAAAAAACAAAAAAAAACAAAAAAAACTTCTGGATCCTTTATAGGTATGAGTACTGGTTGATGTTGGTTGGACTTAAAGGATATCCAGTGTAGATTGCAGAACCCCTCGAGGCACCAATATAGGACTGGGCAGCAAACTGGTGTGGATACTGTGCAGGAGCCACACTGGCGGAGGTAAGTAGGCTTGGCCCCACACTGACAGGGACCTGATGCACAAGAGTACTGGGGTGTGTAGCATAAGTTGTGTGCCTTGAAGAGCCCTGAGGGGAAAACAGGTGAGCAATGGATGTAGTTGACCCCAGGGTTGCAGCAGACGTGGGAGCATATGTGTACATGTGAGGCTGGCTGGTTAGATGGCTGGTGGCGGACGCAGCTGCCGCAAGGTGGGGGTGCACAGTGGAATGCATGGGACTGCTGTGCTGGAACGTGAATGGAGCCTGAGAGATTGATGGAAGTGGAGCAACATAGGCTTGTTGCCTACGAGGAGGTGGATTCATGCTTCTCTCTTGGGATCCCATTGAGGCAGACTGATGGTTCTAGAAAAAATTTTTAAAAAAGTTGAGCTAACACAGAACCATAAATACATCAATGTTGTAGTAATTTGCAAATCTGTTTTTAATTCAATAAGGAGCTTAAAAAAATAAATATTTCTGACTACTATTGTTTTATTCTACAGCTCCCCTCTGCTTTCAGAAAAAAAAATATATGTTGCCTGATATTTGACAAATACATTCTGTAACATTTGCCCAGTTAATAGGATTTTTGACATGCCTGTAAACTAATCTTGCAATACAGTACAGGACACAAGACTAGAATTTTTAAAACTTAGTACATGTGATCAGAAAATTGTAAAAAAAAAAAACAAAAAAAAAAAAAAAACACAGCTTTCAAATAGATTGTACGATAATCTGATAGTACACAGCTGTCTGAAATTATTTAAAGGGACAAGCACGAAAATTTCTCATACAATACCAAAATCATACAATTTTTGTTTAATCAGTAGTTTTCATCCGAAAATACAATACAAATACAGTGCAATACATCACGTCACTTCCAAATTTTTATTCTGTCGTACAAGACTTTTTGTAACTTTGGGAACCTCTTCACTTTTTGATACGAGACTAGCATGCAACAAAAAACAGACAATCATTCGTCCAATAGACTCATGTGCAGGGGGGCTTTAGACCACATGTTATATGCAGGCTACCCTCAGGTGATTAGGGGACAGCCCAAGCACATTTTTTTTGCCAGTGCACAGAGTAGAACCTTTTTTACTTGCTAAAAACTCACAGAGTTGGAACGGAGTGCTCAGGGCACAGAGGCGAGAGGATTATGTCCTGTAATGTACTCTGCTAAGGAATTTATTGGCAACTCAAAATCTTACAAGTACAGGATTTGTATTCTTAGGTTGTTTGGGTATGTCCCATGGTCTGAGAAGTGGGCCACAACATAGGAAACAGAACTGCCAACAAGCCCACATAAAAACAATGGTTCAAGAACACAAAATACACTCAGAACAGTTTGTAGCACCTGCCAGTCAAAGTCTGAACATCCATCTGCTAACTTGTGAACAGAGCAGTTGGTGTCTTGGGATTTTCAGCATCTGCTTCCCAGAGAAGCTGCCAACTGGTGAATAAGGATGTGCCTCAGGTGTGATAGCTTTCTGGCAGGATAGTGCAAGAAGGTTTAGACTAGAATTCAGACACTGCACACCACCAATCATAAGCGGCAGAGAAATTCCCAGCCCTGCAGCCACACGCATACACTGACTAGGATCTGAACATGCCGGACCCATTCCTAGTGGGGGCGGGGCAGAAAGTCTCTGGGTGGGGAAAGGAGGAACAAGCTCTGGATATAAGACGTCTTCTTTGATGGATCACATTCAGAACAAAAAGGGGGCTGTCTTGTGAACGGAGGCCATGGCTGCTAGGTACAGCCCTGACCACAACCAAGCAGTTTAGGGCAATTTCCTTGTAAACTTTTGAGGAAGGATACATGGGAAGTAAGGTCCTCATTGACGTGGACAGAAGAGACCACCTGAAGTAGGAAGGAAGGATTTGGTCTTAAAAATAAGGTGTCCTTGTGCAAAAAGGAATTGGATCCCCTGCACAGCCAAAAAGTTATTAAACTTGGCTCCACCTTTTAGGACATGTGAAGGGAAGACTTGCCCCAACTCCAGGACAGGACTGGAGATCCATTGTAACGAGAGCTTGCTTTGGCTAGACAGAAGCATTGGAAGATCCAATGATTGCATTCTCTTGTTCAGCATTGTTGGTATGCTAAAGATAATAGAAGTAAAAATCTGGAAAGGAAACTGCCTTGAAGAAGCCAGGGGCCCCTGACAACATAAGAAAATCCTGTCTTACCTTATCTCAATACTGAGCCCCACCCCACTCAAGGGGACTCCAGGACCATGGTTTGTTTCTGTGGACCCAGACTATGAATGTTTACAGCACCCCGTGGTTAACTATAGATGTTGCAGTATGTGCCAAGGTGAGTGCCTAATGCAGGAATCAGTGCCCAATAGAATTACAGGCCAGATAAGATCCCCAAGGCAAAACCTAAAGGCAATGGGTCCAGAAACTGCTAGACAGCCCAGGGAAGTAATCAGTTAGATCTTTGAAGAAGTTTTCCCCCAATTTTAGTAACTATAAACTGCTAAATACATTTTTTCAGCAGTATATAGCAGTCTTGTGACTTCTATCAGTGTCCAGCCGAGCACTGGTTTAAGCTTGGAGTTTTCAGTCTCCTCAGAGACTCATAGGACAGTCAGTCTGGACAGTGCTGGTTGGATCTGTGCTAATCACATGCACCCTCCAAAACAATACACACTAAACTGAGCATGTGCAGAGTGACTCCTAGGGCTCTGTACATCAGCAGATTGAATGGAGGGGAGATCAGGATCAGAAGACAAGATCAAGGAGGTTTTTTTTTATACAATGAGAGGATTAACCCCTTAGGTTCCACAGTGAGGATAACCAACATGTTTTACTGCATATACAGACTGATTTTACTGTTGTGTGTTTTGTAACAATAAAGGCAAAACTTTTTTTTAGCTTTGGACAGCGTGGAGAGGATTAGAACATCTATTAGGTTTCCTTTCAAATCCAAAATTTGAGGTTTTCATTACTTTCACTTTTGTGGCTATGATAAACAGAGGGTGAACTTCCCTAACTGGGGAACAGACTGCAGAAGACCTTATTAGGTCTACTGCAGTCTGTGCCCCCATTAGGGAGGTTCACCCTCTCTGCTTTATTACTTTTGTGGGGACAATCCAAAATTTGAGGTTTTCATGATTTTTCACTTTCGAGGATAATGATAGAAGGGACCATTTTCCGAATGGGGACACTAGTTCTGGTGACCTGGGCGTTCCTAGGGATTTCCATTAATTTATGGGGATCTCTCTCACCTCCCGTTTTGGCTATGGGACATGAAGTAAAGGCTCACCTCCCTAGTGGGACAGATTGAAAAAAAAAATAAATAAATAAGCTGACATGGGTTGTAACCCTCCTTTACTCTATACAAAAGGACAAAGTTTTGCTTATAGTTTTAATTTTAATTTTAGTTTTAAAGTGGTTCTAAAGGCTCAAAGTTTTTTTACCTTTATGTATTTGGTGCATGAAGATAAACAAACCTGTGTGCAGCAGCACCCCCAGGCCACCTGCCCTGCCCCAATCTTTACCCGAGCCCCCTCCAATCCAGCGACATTCAACAGTGCCTCTGCTGTCTGGGGACTCCTCCTACTCATTGGCGGAGACAGCAGCAGGAGCCCATTGGATCATGCTACTGTCAACCACAGCTAGTGAGTGGGCATGATACTCCCTAGGTAAGTGGCTTTCCCTGGGGACACTGCTTGAGGGGGAGGAGCCAAGAGTGCCAGCGGGAGACCAAGAAAAAAAGAAAAAAAAAAAAAAAAAAAAAAAAAAAAAAAAGATCAGGGCTGCTCAGTGCAAAATTACTGCACAGAGCAGGTAAGTATAGGCATGTTAATTATAAATTAAAAACAAGTTAGTGTGCAAAGTACACTTAAAGTGACACTAAAGCTTTTTTTTTTTTTAAATACATTTTCCGTTTACATTGGCATGCTACCTTTGTTCCCCCCACACACCATTAAAAGAGCTCTATTTGTGTGTGTATTTGATCACCACTGGGTTTTTTTTTTTTTTCAATTATATAAATTTATATAAACAAGCTGTACAATTTGGGGAAAAACTTTTTTTTTTTTTAACTTCTGCTACAAAACATCCATTAAAAAAAAAAATTTAACTGAATTTCATGAATGTAGGCCAAAATATATTCTGCTACATATTTTTGATTAAAAAAAAATCCCAATAAGCATATAATTGGTTTGCGTGAAAATTACAACGTCTACAATCTATGCCATACACTAGTCATGGCAGTAATCAGTGACTTAAAGAGGGACTGATCATACAGGGGTAATCTGACAAGGATGCTGGGTGGGGGGACACGCATCAGTTACACTAATACAGTGATCACAGTTTACGGTGGTGCTTTTACTAAAGGGATGTGCCAGTTCTTATTCCCTGCTTTAGAGAGAAAAAACTGGCACATCGCCACTGCCAGTAGAGAGCTTTGTGTTTTCATACACAGAGCTGTCAATTTCTCTTCCAATCGGTGGGTCCTGGCCGTAAATCATTGGCCAAAACCCGGTGATTGGCATGTGCTGGAGCCAGTGACCGCACAGCCAGGTGAACACATGCGATTATACTCGAGCCGGCCCACACTATAGCAGTAAAACTACAGTGTGTGATCGGTAAGTGGTTAATATGCACGTGAAACACAATGCCTGGCAATTAGTTTGCTGGTCAAGTTTTTTTTTTTAACAGGTGAAGAAACTGTTTTTCATTTTTACAATATAAAAATTTAGATTTTTCAACCTAGCTCATAAGCATGTTGTGACTTCAATAATTCCCAACCAAAGCACATAAATAAAAACCTGCCAGGTAGGTAAAATGTGTGACAAAATTATATGGTTCCTTACTTGACTGAGGTTGAGAGGCTGCACTCCATTTACCACACGATGGGAACGATAGCCTGTTTGGGATATGCAACTGCCAGATGATTGTCCATTTGAAGATGTGGAAGATTTTGACTTGCCGGTATTACCAAGACTACCTACTGCACAATTAGATAAAAAGGAAAAAATTGAAAAGGATTCATCAAACTTAAAATTTTCTAAACAGTTTACTGAACCCAAATACTCAGTAACTACAAGTGTCTTATTTAAGAGCGAGCATTAAAATGTACCCTCTTTTTCTTTAGTTTTTGCCAGAAGCCCTTCCACTGTGTGCTTCTGTGATTTATTTATTTAACAAGGAGTCTAACATTTTATTCCAGGACAAAACCCCACCTGCCTGCACTATGCAAAATTAATACCCCTTAAAGGCCACAAAACTGCTCTTACTATACAATAAGTTAGGCACTTGGGTTGGGCCAATTTTAAAAAAGCAAAAAAAACCCAAAAACACAGGAACTCAAACCCCAAGTATCAGATTAAATGTATATCAAATGTACACACATTTTTGCAATAAAGGTAATAGCTGAAATCTTGTGGTTTCTGCAGTTAGGCACGGCTTTTAGTTTATATTCAAAATGGCTGACAGAATAAATTTAAAGGTTACCTAGACATTGACAAAGTAAAAATTAGTCAGTGGGCTACTAATACTACCCAGTATTTAGGTCAGATAGTACAGATAGTACTAATACTAAACAGTTTTAGGTCAGATAGTACAGATGAAAAAAAATTGTAGCCAAGGTCATGTATGTTATTACCCTGTATGTATTTCAAGACTTAAGGGATAGATGTGAATAAAAAAAAAACGGAATGCAAGCAGACACTAGTGCCTCCACATACCTATAGCAGAATAAAGCAATTTCTGCAATTTTGAACATTCTACTTTCTGCTATTGTCAAAGGCCACCTGGAACCCTCCCCATTATTGGAGGTGGGAGAAGCAGATCAGTTTTTAACAAAGTAGTTTTGAATTTTGCAGGTTTTAAACCTGCAAGCTTTGGGGTTTTCCAAGAGAACATTGAGAGCTAAAAAGGTAAAACATGAGTAACTAAATGTCAGCACTGTATGCACCAAAAACATTTCCTAAATAGTTGAACCTTCATTTTTAGTTTCGACTGAAGCATACATTTCAATTTGGGCAACATACCTGACAGGTGATTATCCAAACTGCAATCATGAATCTGGGTCTTTAGAGGAGGTACAATAATTGTGCGGGAGCTGGAATTCTGTGGATGAGCGCCTCTGCTACCAGGAACATTAAAAACACCACTAACACCATTAAGATTTGAAAGGTGGTCAGCCACATACGGACTGCTAACAGAGGAATCGGAATCTGGAGAGTCATTCACCGTAACATAACTTATAACATTAGATCTCATTTTCATCCCAGAGCTAAAAAAAAAAAAAAAAAAAAAAAAAAAGGAATTTATACAAAGCATTAGCAGCTTAAATGTACAATATCCACATTCAAACCTATCTCACTACTTAGATTATTGTGGTTTAAAAAGGACATAGCAGCTTTTAAAGTCTTCATATTCACATTTACCCTGCACTACAAACATGCCAAATAGCCTGTAAAAATCTGATTTTAACACCTCTAGCCTTACATAACACTATAGCCATGATGTGCAACAAAGTACAACTAACCGAAAATCTATTTTAATATGATATGATGCAACTTTAGTATCTGAAAATCTGACTTAATGAATCAAGTGTGACCAGTGAAACCGTAATACTTACCCCTAAAGATTAGTGCAACACTAATTTTAACTCATTAAAAAGGATTGTTGCAACAAAAAAAAAAAAAAACAAAACTGCAGACACTCAAAAGGCAACTACACTTATCTGCAGCAGCTTCTGCTTTGCCTAAATGCCAGCCATTCTCAAGGGGCAAAGCTATGAGCGCTTACAGGTAGTGTCAGCATGCAGAATTCTTATTTTCTTATCACTATCATGGGTTCCTTTATGGCCAACAGAAATGTAGAGGATACAGGAAGGGGCAAACAAGCAGAACAGCCAAGCATTCAGGAGAAGTGAGGTACTAAAAACACCTTAGGATGCCTGGCTTTCATTTGGTAGCTTTTTCTTTAAGCCCACACAAAAATGAATCCCCATCGAGCATACGGCTCTTATCCTGTACCACATGTATGCAGAACCCATGCTGAAAGTGTGCAGCACCAATATCACACACAGAACCCATGCGTCCCATTTAGGCCCCCTTTAACAAAGGCTGTATCTGGATCATAGGCGGAGATTCATGAAAAGACCCTCCTCGCTTTTTTTGTTGCAGGAGCTTTCCAGACCCATATTAGTTTTACAGGCGGACACATGTAAACAGATTTGCATCTGTTAATATCCAACTTCTGATCAATAAATGTAGACCTTTGCCAATTTTTTTTTTTTTTGGACTTGGGCAGATTGAGGTCATAGGGATGCACATTTGTTTACATCATCCTGCCCACAGACCTACATGAAGCTTCCAAATCGGGCCTACCTGAAAAACTGACAGTCAAACCTGACTGGACTGCCTGTGTGAAAGGGGACTTGCAGACCAAACTAAATCTAGCATGCTTAAGATGTAAAAACCACTGCCACATTCTTACCTTCCTGGTTTGTACTTGCTATCTTCTTCCTCATCAGTGTCACTGCGGATGGTGATAACACTCACAGGAGGGCTAGGAGTATCTGGAATCACAATGGGTTGGCGTTGCTCTTGGATAGGAAGGAGCGTGTTGTATGAAGTGGAAGCATGAAGTGGGCTACTTCCAACAAGTGAATAAACTTGTGATGGAATAACATCCAAAGCAGAGAGGGTCCTGTACCAATAAAGATAAATTAGTGCAACAGAACATATCCCTAGTGAAAGTTACTGATGTTAACACCAACCCAACACAAGCACATAAAAGACCACATGTGGAATAACCAAGTGCTCATGGCTATAGTGTCAACATTTTTATTTAGTAAAGAAATCATAATGAGCCAATTACCAAATATGAAAGATAAATATGGATGAGGTGCTCCGAAAGTGCAAATAATTGTTCTTTGGTCAAAAATATAAAATTGATGTCTTAAAGAGCTGATAAAAAAAAAAACCGTAATTGAGGGAATTTCGGAAATTGCACCATAGTTACTTTCCCGGTAAATTACAGTAGTCTGTACACCTCCAGGAAAAATGTCATCTCAAAATATGTCCACCATATGAAAAACATAATCCAGTGCTTTTAGTAATTTAAATGTTGGAAGAAGAGTTAGCAGCAACCTCTGACACCAATTGGAAGTGTCAGAGGTTTGTCCATTGGACTGGTTCGGGACTCAACCACAAAGATTTTATCTCACCAATTAAGCAGGGATAGTAATTCACTGGCTGAATATGAAATATAAAATCAAGATATGTACCTGCTAGCATGTGATAACATTGTAATGTTTATCTCTGATGCTTATAAAAAGCATATCGCCTTAAAGCCTGGTTAGAAAGACTTATAAACAAACCCACCATTTCAAAATATTAAAAGGATATTTGACATTTCACAGGTCAGTGATTGTAAACTACTCTCAGCCTTTTATCACCATCTTGAGTGCAACCAAGTATGAAGGTATCCTGTGATAAAGCTTTTATAATTTGCTAAACTTTATGTACCCACCTACCTACACTGTATGCCAACACACTGCTACCTGAATCGCAGCTTCTTTGCATCAAACACTAATCTTTCAAGAGGTCCAGCACTTCATTAAGACCCTCATCTACAATGAAGTTCACTACAGAACACACTTTTGACCCACTACGTACATTACATTCTTGTACCTTGTAGGGTATAAAAGGATAAGAGATGGCTTGGACTGGAGTTTAACATTCATTTTTAAAATATATTGTATATATTGTTAAAAACCAGACAAAACACAAACTGATCTCAAATTGATCTAAACTGAGCTTGTGTGCCCTGTACACCACACCAAGTATATTCTCATACAGATATTCTCTTTTGAGGTTGGACAGGCGAGTGAAAGGAGCACAGACATTTAAAATTTATCCCAAGCATCAATTCTAACCACCTGAGGCTCAGAGATCTGGGTTCAGGGGCTCATACATTAATCACTTCTTGTAAGGAAAGTGTTCCAACAGAAAATATTCTTAGCTATGACACCCAACATCTTCCACACTGATGAAACTGATGCATAATGTTGCAAGAATAATTTTCATCTTGGGAAATATTTAAAAAAAAAAAAAAAAAAAAGAGACCTTGTTGCATAACTGACAGGCAGATTATAAACATGCAGTAATGAACATTGTGTTTCTTCCTGGTATGGAATTAACTTTCCTTAATACTCAACTTGACATTAGCATGACTGAAAATCAACTTGGAATGTCTGATGTCTAAACTACTCAGTAAATGCAATATCTCACAACTGGCTTATTTCTTTTCTGAACGAACATACTGAACAGCTAATGGATTATGAAGGATCAGTAAAGAATGTAGATGAGGCACAACGACAATGGACTTTTAATAAAGCAGCACTTACTTGGCATTCTGCGATTGATGTGGCTTGATTTTCTTTGCTGACAAGTTTCCATTGTGTTGCTGCCGAACAACATGAGCAACCCCCACATTTAGAGGCTGGGCCGCAGCCAAAGTCACATGGTTAGCAAGTAATGATGGCTGCTGCATCAGTGCGCTATACTGGTTTCCATGGGTATGTACATTTCTATTAGAGGAAAGATAAGCATGTACTAAGTACCACAAATATTTCAGATGCATACTATTTGGGCATTGTAACTGGTACCCAAGACTGGTTTTATCATTTATACAGCAAATTACACTACTAGTACCTTTTATAAACTTACCATTTCTTTGATGCTTCCAGCTGAAAGGCAATTATACACCCTCCCCTATTACCAAAGTCTATGCTATACATAATTTTGAAAACATTCCCTAAAACTCTACAGAGAAATGCAATTTAACCACAATGGCTGCATATTCTTGGCGAAGTGGGCAATTATTTTTTAAAGCTTCCAGGCCAACAGATGAAGAATTCCGTTAATGGCACAATGACAGTATTTGCCTATAGTGTTGACTTACAAAGGGAGAAGTTCCTTCTGGTTTGAGAAGCTTTTCTTTAACTTAAACCTGCAAATCTACGATTAAATTGCTGGTGCCCTATACAGTGTGTAAGAACTGTTCCACAAAAGTGTTTTGGATTTCTATGGAATAATCAACACACATTGTTCAAGTAGTATTATTCTTGTGTGATTGCTTAACTGTCCAAGCTTAATCGAAAAAAAAAAAAAAAAAAAAAAAAAAAATTACAGTTGTATACATTACCTCCAATCTGCAAGCTGCTGGTTACTTCCAATAGTTTCGGGGATCACGGTTGTCTGCTGAACAGAGTTATGAAGGGCGACACCAGGAAGTTGCTGCCATGTGGATGGCAGTAAGATCTGCTGTGTTCCACCAGGCCAAGCCTGCTAGAAAACACAAAAAAGGAAAAAATAGACAACCTCTTAGTCACACACCAATACAAGAAATGTCACGTTAGCCTGTTTAAGACAGAGATCTTCACCTTGCAGAAATAAAGGGCAACACCAAAACGAGGTCAGTAATCAGTGATTTATGGTGCTGTGTTGCAGAAGCTGCACAACTACTCTATTCTACCCAAAACATCTACTTTTAATACATTTGTAAATATTGCTTAAAAAAAGAATTTGCAAAAAGACAATGTGCCATTAGGAGCCAAGTTAGAAGTATCCACATTGTGGTACCATCCCAAAACTTAAATCAAAGCAGGAACAAACAAGCAAGCATAAGTAACCACACCTAAGCATAAATGTGGATATAATATATTAATCCACTCAGTTAAGACATTTTACATAAAAATGATGAATATCATGGTCTAGCACCATCATAGTCTTAAGTTTGTGATGAGCAAACAATAAGAGTATAGGATCAACGTGTTTCACTGCATTTGCTTACTCAGGATCCACGCTTGAGATGCAACACTAAGCCATATCAGATCACCTAGCATGAGACGATTGAAAACAGTATACATCCTTCCTTGTGGGGGAGAAGAGGATCACATTACCCAAATGGGAGATATTACGCAACGAGCAGAATCAAACTCTGATTTGGCTCTAAAGGAGGGACAGCAGGGATCAGCTTGTAATTGGGTACATAACACCAGGCTGTTCCCATACAGCTCCTATCCTAGACCCAATTACACACTTCTCATATACCCATGGCCATCCGAAACTCACTCCCACAATGTTATCCACAAGTATAAAGATCAAGCAAACCAATAGCTGGTAACTGCCAAAACGGCATAGGCCATCAACCATAGATGTTATGTATTCAGTTTCTGCCTGACCAGTAATAAAATGTTATATTCATGACATGAGTAAGAGCTTTAAAAGGACTTTTTTTTTTTAAACCTAAACCTTTGCTCACAACTATGAAGATGAGCAGTAAATCCAAATGAAATGAAAGTCCATAAGGATTATGCAAATTGTAGCTACAAGAAAGTTTGTGAACTCTTTGGAATTACCTGGGCATCTGCATAAAGCCAAATTTGATCTAAATCATAATGGAAAACATAGGAACCCTTGCATTAGCAATATGTGGAATTTTATTCCTCAGCAATGAACTCCAACGGTTCCCTGTGGTACTGAACAATTTTCCACAACGATTAGAAAGGATGGAGGACTTTTTTTTTTTTTTAACACAGCTTTCTTGGGATTGTTTAAATAATATTCAGGTCAAGTAATCTCAGAACACTGCTAACATCAGAAATGTCACTTGGCCTTCCTCAGTGGGTATAGAAAAGAATCGCCACCCCTTTACAAAATCATTTTGTTGCTCTGCAGACTGAAATGAAGGCAGTGTTTGTTTTATCCAGCTATATATCTACTCTGTGCAACTTATACCACCCATGAAAAGATACAACACCAACAAGTCAGAAAATAAAAATTCAAAAACAGAATCAGAGTTGGAAAAAAGATAAAAACCTTCCAACATGACAATGACCCAAAGCACACAGCAAAAATAACCACATAGTGGTTGGAGAAATAGGTGAATGTCCTTGCCTGGCCTAGTCAGAACCCAGACTTAAACCCCATTGAAAATCTGTGGTCACCATAAAATATACCTGAACTTCAGCAGTTCTGCAAAGAAGAGTGGGCAAATATTGCAAAGTCTAGTTGTGCAAAATCAGTAGAGACATATCCCAACAGACTAAAAGGCTGTAATTAAAGCAAAAAGGTGATTCAAAAAAATACTGACATGGTGACAGGAAAGATTTTCTAACATGTTAGTGTTCTTTCATTTATGCTATAAGCTGCACTGAACAAATACAGCTGGAAACAACGGGGGGGGGGGGGGGGGGGGGGGGGGGTCTTTTCTATACCCACTGTACACAATTGTATTTTGATTTAACCATCCTTTTGTTTTAAGCTGGCCACTGGTAGATCAAGAACATTTTTCCATCCTTCTCTTGTCACCACGGTCATAGTTGTCCATTTGACCTCAACAATTAGAATGTTAAAAAAAAAAAAAAAAAAAAAAAAAAAAAAAAAAAAAAAAAAAAAAAAAACCCCCACACATTTTCAAATACTAATGAAGCCTTCATCTTTCTTCCCCACTATGCTCCAGATGTGTTGCTGATGGTTTGTTCACTTTAAAATGTAATGTGTGTTTCTCCCAAACAGTTCAATATCTGTTTCACCCCTTCACAGACCATAGCCTCAAAAGCAGTGTTTAAGACAATTTTTTTTTTTTCACCTCTACCTGTCTCAATTACCCCAATTATAACAAGTCATTACTCTTAGATTGTAAGCTCTACTGTGCAGGCCCCTCTGATTCCTCATATAACAAATTGCACAGTGCTTCACAAACTTAAGGCAGATGTTAGTTACAATACAAACAGTTGGCGCTATATAAATCCTGTATAACAACTCTAGTGTTTCACATGCTTAAATTGAGGGCAGTGGAGCACAGCATGTGAATTTTAAAATGTACCCTTAGTGAATGAGGTGAAAGTTAAAAATTCACTTTGCAAAGAATACCCAATGATAAATTTTAAAAAATGTAATTTTTTTGGCACATGCTTAAAGATAGAAGTCCACATAACTTTACCTCATTAACGAAGAAAAGCAAAATTCACTTTGCAAACCTGTACGATTTTAGTAAATCAGAGTCACTATATCTTTACACAAAACAAACCCTTAATTTGCAGGGATTTCCTCTTACTTTGTTTTGTCTATGGGACAAGCAGTAAAGGTAAGCATCCCCAATAAGACACTGATGGCAATAAACCTGATGGGGGTTATAACCCTCCTTCCCTCTATCCAAAATGAGCCTATAGTTCTACTTATATTAAATGTAGGAAGATCAGACTATACTATAGGAGCCATTCAGCCAGAAAGGCAAATAATTCTAAAGGGTTAAAATATACAAAAATGCAGTGCTAATACACAGTCCATCAAACCCTCATAATATAAATAGTGAATGAGTCAATGAAAAAAAAAAGGTGCATAAGAAAGAAAGTCCTTAATGTTGAATAAATGGTGCACTATATTAGTTATTTTCCACTTGTAAAGCACATGACCACTTCTTCAAACACCACCCCGTGAGTATTTAAGAATCTATTCACCTTGGAATCTATTCACCTTGGAAGATTACCTCAAGGCTATAAAAAGGTCGAAACAGGTACTTGTTCATATGGCACAGTGATCCTCAAAATAAAGCCACATCTAATGTTCCCCATTTTATTGAAATTAAAAGCAACCAATTTTACTCAATATGAATAAGTCAGTCGCCATGTAAAAACTGCAATTTATCAGTGCGGTACAAGAGTTAAGGGTGTCAGGTGATGTTTATGTATCCATGGAGACTGGAAGCGCTATGAAAGCCTGACATGTAATATTTCCCCACCCCCGATGAAGTCTCCTCCCATGGGCACTATCGCATATGGGTGGAGTTTTAGAATGACGTCATCACATCTAGTCTCGGTTTGGCTTACGAGTGGGGTCTATTGAAATTTAAGCTAACTGTTGCCAATCTCCAGGGAAGTAGATGTGCACTTTTTACATACGGTCGTTTTCATATAATGAGTAAAATGTGTTGCTTTTATTTTAATAAAATCTTTTCAATGGACAGCATGAGATGTGGCTTATTTTGAGGATCACTGCCAAGTGAACAGAGTTACCTTTGGATGCACATGGAGGACAAGTGGAACAAAATTAGAATGTTCTATTAAAAAAGCAGAAATGTGCAACATTCCCCTTCTGTGACATACCTGTTTTGACCTTTTATATCTCTTTAGGTAATCTTCCAAAGTGAGCAGATTCACAAATGCTCACAAGGTAGTGTTTGAAGAGGTGGTCAAGTGTTTTATAAGTGGAAAATCAAGATTTGCTAAACTGCTCCATTTATTCAAAATTAGGGGCTCTCTCATGCACCTTCATTTCGTTGACTGTCCACTTTTATATTATAATTTGAAGGACTTCATGTGACAATATATACATTGGTGCAAGGTGGATTATTACCAAGTGTATTAGCACTATACATTGTTTTGTATATTTTATATTGTTTATGATCTGTGGGTAATACACAGACAGTGCAAGATTGCTTCAGATATTTATTTTTTAATATTTTTCTGCACAGATACATTCATGTTCGTGCAATTCAAAAGGGTTCACAAAACTGTAAAACCTGCTACACAGTTTTTTTTGAGAGGGTCTGGAACTCAAGCAGCTTACCAAATGTTCTGCAGCACAGCACATGTTGATATAAGGCTTTGATACAGACTAACAGTATTTCTGCAAGTGAGAGACCCTTGTTCTGTAAACACCGCTCCTGAGACCTCAAAACCATTTCACAATAAAAACAGTGGAAGGAAAATAAGTTTAATAAAATGTTAAATCACACCATGCGTCTTTCCAAAAAAGCCAACACCTGCCCAAGACAAAGCATTTCGTTTAATATAAAAGCAAGAACATCCCAAAATGTGATGCAGAGATCTGGTGCTCCTAGCGATGAACTGTTTTGACAAAGGAAGGACAAAAATATGCAAAGCTTTGCAATGGAGTAATGCAAACTTAGGCAAAGCAGTAAAAGGCAGTCAAATCCATTGGCAAGCTGGCTGATGAACTAAAAAAGGTGAGCTGAAGTTAGATTACAATTTAGAAAGAAAATCTTTGGAATGCACATTAACTTGTGATTTTATTTTTTGAAATTCTACAGCAAATGTACTTTGCACCTCATATGTAACATTACACTTTGCCAAGCCTCAATTATTTACACAGGTCCCAGAAAAAAAAACCCAAATTACTTTGAATTATACTAAAGTATAAAGAATCCTCAGAATGAATACAAGATTATACGGAATTAAATAATTACACTGAGAACTGATGGTTTTATTGGCCCACGTCACTGAGTCATTAGGGACCAAGTTAAAACTATGTGGTCAGTGTTTGAGGGGAGGAGGAGGAGAGAGGAGGAGGAGGAGGAGAAGGAGGAGGAGAAGGAGAGGAGGAGGAGGAGGAGGAGAGGAGGAGGAGGAGAAGGAGGAGGAGAGGAGGAGGAGGAGAAGGAGGAGGAGAGGAGGAGGAGGAGGAGAAGGAGGAGGAGAGGAGGGAGGAGAAGGAGGAGGAGGAAGGAGAGGAGGAGGAGGAGAAGGAGGAGAGGAGAGAAGGAGGGAGAAGGAGGAGGAGAAGGAGGAGAGGAGAGGAGGAAATAAAGGCAAATAGGGCTTTACATAAATGTTTTAAATTAGGTTTCAAAAATTTAGTTAAACACCAAATTCATGAAAGAAAACAACATTTTACCCAAAGCCATGGAAACCATGCAAATAACCAGGTCTTTGTGAATTTTATTGCAAGCATATCAATAAATGCACTTCTTGCATAAATAACCTGCATACCTTTCCAATCACAAGACATAAAGACAACATTTTATGCAGTTGTCTCACAGGGAATATACTTAAAAATATGCTCATGGAATAGAGTTATCTCTAGGAAAAAAAAAAAAAAAAAAAAAAGAGTGGGCAGAGCTTTAAGTACACAAAGCTTTAGAAGTATGCAGGAAAGAAAAGAAGCTAAAAGTCACTCGTAAATAAATGTCTGGTGCAGTTGAACTTCTTGCCAGACCTCCACAATCGTCTTTACATAAAAACCCTATAAGTATAAGGAGGTCTTTCATAAGGTTCATTTTTTTTTTTTATTTTTTTTTTTACTAGTCTGAGCAATCCAAAAATTTTACTCTCCCAAGAATTTAAGTTGAGCTCACCTTTAAGTTCAAACAAGAATTTTCAACATCTGTAGAAAAGCAATATCATTGAGGGTACAGAACAAGCTATTTTGCCGATTGTGTTAATGACCATACAAAGTCTTCAGGTTTGTTGGTTAAAGGGCTGCGCTGAAGTCATTGATTAGAAATCCATATAGAAGAAAGGCCTTGAATGCAGTACACCTCAGCAAGAGACTGCTCTTAAGGCATTAGGTTAATCTCAAACCAAAGCATATACAAGGATTTCACTTCTGCATGCAAAGAAATGATCTCCCAAGTCACCCAGAATGAAGCTACTTTGACATTTGCCATACTCTAATAATTTAAAAAAGTGTGGACTATGCTACACAATATCTTTTAAGAAGTGTTATAACTGCCAGAAACTTTTGGAGGACTTCAAAGATGGCACTTGGTAAGAAAACTCCGTTAGGACTGAATCTCAAATTGTGCTTGGATATTCAAATACAGTAAAAAAAAAAAATCCTTCTATTTTAGTATTGGTGATAAAACTGAAAAAAAAAAAAAGAAAAAAAAAAAAAAAAAAAACACACTTCAAAACCAGTCAAAAACGCAGTATCATTCCTACTCTCCTTATCAAGGGAATCCAGATTATAAAAAGGAACATTAGGACTAGTTTAAAAAAAAAAAAAAAGTTAGAATTCCAGGTGTTCATATGTAGTAGAATTTAGAAGCGGTTTTGTGTCAGTCTAGTTTGACATTTTCTTTTCAAGTTTGTTTTTTAAACTTGAAGAAATATATAACCTCTTATAACCATCTACATGTTCCATTTATTTCAGCGTTTGTTATAGGCAATGAATGTCTGAAAATACGGTACTGTCAATAAGGGCTGTTTCATCGGGGAAACCTTTTGAAGACAAGCTGGAAAGAATAAAAAGGGGAAAAAGCTGTATAATATAGGAAGCAAGAATGCAATTTAACCCTCATTGGAACTGCTGCCTTAAAGAAAGCCAGGCTGAAACATAGGAGGCGGACAGCACTGCAGCAATCATTTGGAAAGGGAAACAAAAAATAAATGAAAACATTAAGGAGCCGCTAAGAATGTTGCAAGAACACAGCCACAAGATGGAGCTCATGCTTCCATGCTCTTCTGAAACGTTCTATGATAAGAGGAAAGGAAAACATATACACAAATATATTTAAGGAAAAAAAAAAAAAAAAAAAAAGACCGTTAGTGTGCACAATCAAGTGAAACAAAATTACCAGTACAGCAGCAGTCTGTTCAACTAAGGCCGGCCGCCCGGCTGCGCAGTTCAAGGTAAATGGTACCGCATACTGCGGAGTGATGGTGGCTACGTGTGGATGAAGAGTTGTTACCATTAGTGGTGTACAGCTTCCCTGAAACGTAGATTAGGAGGTGAGTGAAACAGTGTATTTATTACCAGGATATATACTTTAACATTACCATAAGAAATGGTACGTGGAACACTTTGCTTTCTACCTCGTATAATAAAGTTCAAAACAAGTGTTACTGCTGCCCATAGCAAATTATCGAACAGTCAGGTGTCTCAATATGGACAATGGAAAGACCCATCTGATCAGTTGCTATAGTCGGCAACAACATTTTATCCATTTTACTGCATAAAGCTGTGCGTGGAGTGCCTGCTAAACGCACTCTCATTGGGGAGATGCTCAACCTCACATTGCACAAAGCTTAAGCTTTTGAAAAAGCCAACAAACAGAACTGCAGCAAGGCAACGCTGAGCTGTCTTGTGACATTGTGCTAAATCCGTATGTATGAAGGTTAGAAGCAATAATGAGGGACATGGGGCAGTATTTTTTTTCTAAGTCTACACTGGAAGGGCAGCTGCTTACTTCTCTGGCCATGTGACCTAACTACATAGCAAAAGCAATTTTTGTCTTGGAGCACAACACTACACAAAACTGAATTCAATCTGAGTGTGCAGATCAAGTGTCAGATGAAGACAACAAAAATCTGCAAACAGATTACCAAAGTCAACCAGCAAAACATTTTGCTTCTCTAAATTCAAAAAACCTGAAATGGAACCTTCTAATGTACTCTTTAGAAGATGAACTAGAAAGCTGTACATATCTATTTGAAAAAGCACCATAAGGATTTATTCTATAAACAAGGATTCTCTCAGCCTATATAAAGGTTAGTACGTTGTCAGCAGGCCTGTTACGCATGTACTCATAGGCAATAGATTGTGACTTAACCCCTTTTTAGTCCTCTTTCAAAGTAAAAAAAATTAACTTGTTTGGCAAGTTCACCTCAGACACTGAAACCCACACCTTACATTTGGACATTGGCTGCCCTAGTAGTAAAGTTGAAGTAAAGGCAGAAATTTAAAACCTGTGAACAGGCAGGCTTTTTATTGCAAGAGGAACGCAATGTCTCTTTTGCAATATAATACATGTTACCTACGCGTTTGCAATCCCCTGAAAAATGTACATGGAGTTGCGCATGCACAGCCAAGTTTGCATTAAAAAACAGTGACTGTGCCCAGAAGACTGCATTTTTGTGCATGCGCAGGCGTAATGTAATCCCACGCCAGCCAATTGAGATGGCCAAAGACCAGCACCGGGAAGTTGGGAAGAATATGCCAGCCCCAGCAAGGGATCTCCCGGGTGTCAGATGGTTGAAAAAGTTATTTGTGCCTTTAGTTCCACTTTAAGGTCCAACAATAAGCCAGAGAAGTAGAATGGGGCAGATCCAAGTCTGACCAACATTTGTATTTACATTATAGGTTTTTGGGGCACTTGAGATTCTCAAAAAGACAACTAAAAAATAAAATTTATGCACTTGAATGCATTTGCTATACAGTCTTGCTGACAGCTTACTATTTTTGTGAGCAGATTTTCTCTACAGAACCACCCCCATTCCAAGCCTATTCTATCTACCCTGTGAAAGGAAAAATCTAAATACTTTGAGTCATCTCCAGTTCAGTGACATGATCGGGTCCCAGGACCAGCTTCAGTGTAGAGGGACAGTTGACAGATGCCCCATGGTAATCCTATGGGTGACATCATCCAGGCTCTGCAAATGTTGTCCGTGATCTCTTGTCACTGAATCTGGCTGCTGGAGAGGTCATGTAACTGGGCCAGGGCCAGAGTGCCCTCAGCATAGGTAAGTATTGAATTTTCCTTTACAAAGTAGTTCAAACAGGCTTGGAATGGGGGTGGGAGGAGGTTTAGGCTTTGTTAGTATTTGACTATACTTCAACTTTAAAACAAGTAATACGACCATCAATTTTGCTGTTTTTTATATGTTCTGCATTTGTTGATGCATGGCTTTATAGGACACCGCTGCTGGTATCAAGAAAATTAACTACAGGGTTCCACAAGGATGTGAAAACAACAAAGCATTCAAACCATGAACATCCACAAAACCAACACACTTGTAGCACAGTTCTAGCTACAACCTACATATAATGTACTGTCGCGTATAGCAGGAAAGTCGTTTCCTGACTACAGCGATTTAATTTGGTTAGTCCACAATAGATAAGAGGGAAAACAAAAAAAACACAATACAAAACTTAGAAATAAAGAGGGTGAAATTCAGAATTCTAGAGTTTTGTGGTCTTTAAAAAAAAAGCAGAAACATACATATATTTATATGCACAGAGCAAGACTATGAATATATGTATGTAATTACAGATGACTCCAGTCAACACAAACCAGCAGGAAATTGATCCTGCAGGCTTACATACAAATTAAGGACACACACCCAGAGATATGGGGGGGGGGGGGGGGGGTGGAGAATTAGGACTGGGCACATTAATAAAATTTGTTCTTGCTCAAACATGGAAGTACAGAAAAATATTTTCATATACAAACACTGGTAAGGTAACAAGGTTAAAGAGCCTTTGAGGATAGAAAATGCATTCACTTAGAAATTTAAAGTTATGGGGCTGTCATCTTAAAGGTGAACTCTGAGGGGGAGGGGTGGGGAGTCCTATCTGGTCACTAGACATGCCTACTTCTACCTGCAGCTGATCTTTCCTCAGAAAATGAGCAGATTTCCCCAATCCACACATTCGATGGGGGAATCCTTCCCGCTGAGCTATTTTCTGATGGCAAGGGAAAGTTCCCCACCATCAGAACAGTGTTGCTGGCTATTTATTTATTTCAGGTACTTATATAGCGCCGTACATTTACACAGCGCTTTACATATATATTGTACATTCACATCAGTCCCTAACCCTCAAGGGGCGTACAATCTAAAGGTTATAAACTTGACAAAACCTGTACACAAGATGATTAATAAACCAACTTGTGTATAGCATGCCTGCCCATACATGGATCCAATATCAATCCATGTATGGCTGGCTTAAGGTCCCTAACCGACAAATACACATTCTAGGGCCAATTTAGGTGGGAGCTAATTAACCTACCAGAATGTCTTTGGAGTGTGGGAGGAATCCGGAGTACCCAAAGGAAACTTACAGAAGCACAGGTGGAATATGCAAACTCCATTGAATGGGATCTGGAACAATGACCATAGGCAAATCATCTGTTGGGAGGTGACCATCTTGATAGGGAGCAGGGATTTTGCTTCTTCATGTCAAAGCCTCCAGCGGGAACAAAAGTGAGCAGCACGATAGTGACATCACCAAATCTCTCTAAAGCTTCTGAGACTAGAAGTCAGACTCAAGAGTGGCCAAATCTCACACTGCAGGTTTACAGTACATCTATGACAGATATCTTCTTGAGTTCAGCTACTTTAACCACTTCAAGTCCGAACACTTTCACCCCCTTCCAGTCCAGGCCAATTTTCAGCTGTCGTCACTACCACACTTTGAATGACAATTGCACGGTCATGCAACACTGTATCCATAGGACTTTAGCCTTTTTTTGAGACAGATAAAACTTTATTTTGGTGGTATTTATTCACCACTGGGATTTTTTTTTTTTTTTTTTTACCAGAATAATCCTTAAAAAAAAAAAAAAAAAAAAAAAAAAGAAAGGATTATTCTGGATAAAATAAGCAAAAGGAACTGAGTCAATAGGCCGGACTGAAAGGGCAATGTATAAAAAAAAAAAAATGTCACAAATATCTTCCACCTGAACAGTTACTGTACTACAGTGCAAATGCCTATTATTAGCATCCTGTGTGGCTGATTCATAGCTCTGCATTCAGTTTCCAGGAGTCTGTTCTGAGGTCATGTTTCCATTATAAACTCAAAGAAACACCACTTATTCAAGGCATTTTTTTTCTCTTCCAACAAAAGCTGCCTGATGTATTTTTAGACAAATTACTTTGAGATCAATGGCTGTGCGTAAGCCATGATCAGTTTTCAGATGGGTACAATTAACTTGAGGAGAGTGGATTCTGAGCAGTGAAACAGCTCACTTTGTTTTACTAACAGAACTGGATTCAAAAATGACTTTTCAAAATGCATGTCTTTATTTAGCAATGTAATCATTGTTGTGCACAAACTGCATCCCTGGTGACAGCAGTCTGGAAAGCATTTAGAAAATTGGAAGAGCTTTTCAAATGCACAAACCTTTACTGTGACCAAATCATAACAGTACATTTCTCCCTCTGAGTATTTTGAGAGAATTAACTAACTAGGAGGGATAGAGTGGATACTACTGGTGACAACTTCTAAAGCAAAGGAACCTATTCTCCAAACCTCAAACATGGGGCAAGCATGGTAAGCTTGCTTTCTCTTATGAGAAACAAAACACGTAATCTTTAGCATGCATTCTGGCAACCCAAAACGTTAACCAACTAACAGAATAGAACTGAAACTATTTTATGGGAGCAAACATAAAAATGAATTTTTGTAAATCTAACATTTCTGCTAAAAATCAGGCAAACATATTAAACTAGATCAGCTTTTGTCAACCAGGGTGCCTTAGTAAAAGGCCTAAAATGTGTCCTACATTGGCCCAGTCAGCAGGGTTTTTTTTTTTTTTTTTTTTTTTTTTTTTACACAGCAGGGATGGATCTAGCCTGATTGGGGCCCAAAAAAAAAAAAAAAAAAATAAAAAAAAGTCAGGGGCATAATGTCAACACTGAGTCACTGAATCTTTCAGTGCCACAACTTGGGAAACGCATACATTAGGCTGTTTTAGACTAAGGTGATTAAGAAAAGCCTTTGCCCCCTTACATCAGATCTCTCGATCAGAAAGCTCCCTTACATCAGTTGTCCAAATCAGAGTTCCCCCTTACATGGACTGTTATCATCAGAGCGCCTCCTGACATCAACTGTCTGCATAAGACTGGTTCATGGATGCACTCAGACCTGGGAGGGACACAGCCAACCCCATCACACTACTAGATCCAGGTCTGTTACAGAGGTCCAAGCCAAAGGGTTTTTGTTGTGCAGCATACAACCTTGGGCATCATGCAGGCCAGCCACTTGTGTCCTAACCACCAATGACAACCACACAAAATGTAAATGCATTTTAGTAAATATAAGCTGCTAAATACCTTTTCTTAAATTGGCAGTATATAGCAGTCTTGTGACTTCTATCAGTGTCCATCTGAGCAATGGTTAAAGCTTGGAGGAGTTTTCATTCTGCTGGACAGTGCCAAAATGGCCCAGTGCTGATCACGTGCACCCTCCCAAAGGTGCAAACAAACTCTAGCCATACACACTAAAACAAGCATGTGCAGAGCAACTCCTAGAGCTCTACTCTTAGCAGATGGACTGAGGACAGTAGAAGGGGAGGATCAGAAGAGACCAGATCAAACAGCCTTTTCACACAATGTGGAGGATTGACCCCTTAGGTTCAAAAAGGAGTATAACCAGCATGCTTTACTGCATATACAGACTGATTTTACTGTTGTGGGTTTAGTAACACTTAAACACCATTTAGTTTAGTCTTGGTGGCTTGAGAATGTGCAGCGTTATAAAGGGTGCCTTAACTGAAAAAAGGAGAAACATTGATCTAGATTGGGTGTTTTGAGTTGATAAAAGGCAGACAGAACATACAAAATTAAGTGGAAGTGCTGCCCATACCAGACAATTCTAGGATTTAGCCAGAGGCTGACCACCTCCCAAAAGGAGTACAGCAGCAGAGGGGCTCTCCTGAGCTGGATCACATATCTAGTACACAATTCAGGACTTCCCGGTAGGGGGCATGCTGGCTCCGATTAGTAATGGCACAAGCTGATCAGCAGGTGCCAGCAAATGACTGACCACAATCACCTGCTGATTGGTGAGGAAGAAGAGAGACTGGGCTCCGGTTAGTGTACATACATGTAAGAGATCTGTCCTGTCAGTGGGACCGCCACACTCCTGTGAAAGCACCTCACCAGTACACACAAATACTGGTTAGGCGCGCACACAATCCTTTGATCGCCCTAGTTGTTTAACTCCTTCCCAGCGAGTGCCAGTACAGTGAGTATATATTTAGCACTGATCACTGTACTCGTGTCACTGGTTCTCAAAGGTCAGTTTGCCCACCATACTATCATAGTACCGCTAAAAGTCGCTGATAGCCGCCATTACTAGTAAAGAATAAATAAATAAAAATTCCAGTATATACCAGTTTGTAGATGCGATTACTTTTGCACAAACTGAATTTGAGGACATTTGATTTAAATTTTTTTATTGGATGTTTTATAGCAGTGGTGATCCAATACCACCAAAAGAAAGCAATTTGTGCAGGGGGATAAAAAAAAAAAAAAAAAAAAAAAAAAAAAAAAAAAAAAAAAAAAGATATACATTTAATTTGTGTACAGCGTAGCATGACCACACAATCTCCAGTGAAACAGTGCCAAAATGCAAAAAATGGCCTAGTTAATTCATAGAATCTAGCCATGTGTTGTGGACACCCCTGAATTTCCTTTCTCTGGATTTTATGACCGAGACCCATTTAACATGCAGGGGTTAGTGGCAAGATTTAATTCATTAACCACAAAAACTGTACAAGTATAAAAACTCTGTACTGTAAAAATCCTGCATAAGGCATAAAAATCAAACAAAACATATGCACTGTATCCAAAAAATGTCATAACAGCCTGTCAGGATGACATGTAATAAAATCTTTAGTTTTCTTTTCATGACATTTTAACCCTGCTTTAGCAGCTCAGACAGGGTGTCAGTTATCAAGCTCAGATAGAAGATAGGTCAACCCTCTGTGGGGCCATTACAGCACAACACTTGATTGACATTTCTACAAGGACAGGGAAACAATAAATACAACTAAAAACACCACTAAACACAAGAGTCTTTGAGAGATCAGGCTATAGCCATTTCACAACTTGCGTGGAGTTTGATTCTTAATTATATCCAATTAAAAATGGTTCTCTAAGAACGAACAAAGTGCTCATTGCTACATTCATTCAGATTTCTGAAAGTACAGGGCAAAAGCAGGCACGCCCAGCTGACTTTTCCAGTAAGGACATCAGAAACAAAAAAGGATGCCAGGAATTCTGACTGACTCATGCACATCAAAAATCTTGGCAGCTTGCAAAATTCACTTTTAAAGTGATATTAAAGGCTTAATTTATTTAAACCACATAATACTAACCTGCTCTCTGCAGTGGTTTTGCAGAGAGCAGCCCAGATCCTCCTCCTTGTGTCCCACAGGCACTCCTGGGCCCCTCCCTCCTGTCAGGTGCCCCCACAGCAAGCAGCTTGCTATAGGGGCACCCGCTGCTCTGTGTCCATTCACATACGGAACAGCGGCTTAGCCCTTTTCCCCTCTCCTCTTCGGCTCAATGGCTCCCACTGTGGTCTCAGCCAATGAGGAGAGGGAGTCCCAGGATTGCTGCCAGTGCACATTGCTGGATCGAGAGGGGGCTTAGACGAGTATTGGGGGGCTGGGGAGTTGCTGCACATCGAATGCATGAAGGTAAAAACCCTGAGCCTTTACAACCACTAAGAAAAAAAAAATGTCAGTACCTTTAAAATCAAGTACTGATAAAATGTCTCCAATGTATCCCTTCAAATCTACAAACATACTAGTTTAACACCCTCCAGCCCAGCCTATAGCAGATTGACGGCCTGGCGGGACACTCCTTGTGACTGGGTGTAATATGACCTCCTGTCAGGAGCCACTTGCTCAGCCGCGCTATGAGTCACCGACTGTGTCCACAGGACAGAGCCAATGACGTCAGTACACCAGCCCATTGCCAGTGTCATGTGACCAATCACAGCAGATCACATGTCAATTGTATACAAAGAAGGCTTCCTGTCATGCCATCCATTGCATACAATTGAGTTGTTAGCTGTGATTGGTCAAATCAGTCACATAGTACAGACAGGAACAATCACAGCCCATCTCAATCATGTGATGAGCTTTGCCCAATCACAAGAGACTGAATTAGGCAGTTTTATTCAGCAACAATGCTAATACCAATGTATTTCATTTATATTTACAGTAAATGTGTCTCAAAAAATCCTGATCACCTGCCCAGAGTAGTTCAATGTTTATGGTAACATGTTGATCACAGTGTGTTGGGGAAGAAAAAAAAAAAAATTGTCACCAGTGTCCCTGATCACTGCCACACCAGTTATATAATAACAGTGTACTGGACTGGTGACAAAGTATAAAAAAAAAAATTAAGATTCCTCTTAATTTCTACATTTTCCAGAAAATATTACAACCTCTAGAAACTTACCATGACTCTTACCAAGTACCTTGGACTGTATTTTCCAAAAATGGGTAATTTGGGGGGTATTTGTACTATGCTAGCAGTTTCAGGCCTCAAGAAATGAGATGAGCCATCAGTACACCTGGATTGATAGATTGTCAGATGTATATACCATGGTTTGTGGACTCTTCCTACACACTAAATATACACTAATTTGGGGTAGTTTCACCAAAGAAATGTAGCCGAATACACTGAAACTTTGATCTCCTAAACAGACAGAGGCCTGAACGCTAAAACTGAGCGATGTATGAACAAGTCCTTAAAGTCAATCTTGACAGATCAAATTAAAACACAGTCACAGTTTTGCAACATTAACATGTCATAATATTTTATATGACCAATTTCTCAATCTTCAGTCACACGGAGTACAGGTATTAAAGAGAATATATAGTGGTTTTGTGTGCATTTTCTTTACTGGAGTTAAAAAAAATTAAATATATATATTTTAGTCATGTAAATATGAAACATTGCATTGGAATAATATGTACTTTATGTGGGAGTGTATGCTGTCAACATGGGGAAAGCACAGGTTCACGTTAAGCACATAGGAATGGAAGTATAAGGCAGTCAATACTGAGAGTGTCAGGTTTTATACAATATTCACCTCATATGAGCCAATGCTTGTTAATACATATCACAAGAAGCGATACTAAAGTATAGCAGTAATTAATCATTTAAATCAAGCCATTCACACTGGGGTGTTGAATTACCTGCGTCAGGACTCCTGACTGGATCTGGAGAGGTTGAGCAGCCGGAGCTTGTGGCACAATTGGGACGCTACTGTCCATACGAACAGGAAAGCCGGAATGCTTCGTAGTTGCTTGAAGCCCAGCAGCTTAAAAATAATACACTTCATATTTAAAACTACATGACAAGAAAACTGGGTATCTGAAGTTGCATAAAATTAGTCTGCATCGATACAAAAAAGTCTGTTACAATTTCTCTTCTGGGGGGAAATAAAAACCCAAACTGTCTCACAAACTCAAAAAAAAAAAAAAAAAAAAAAAAAAACCCTTGGGAGGTACCCATGTAATTGTGTTTTCCTGTGTATGCTACTATTAAGCCCAATAGAATTGTCCTATGGGAATGTCTGAAATCACAGTCCATGTTTAATGTAGGTCCTGAGAATAAAGCTAAACATACACTGGTAGATTTTTGTGCGAACCTTCATATGGTAAGTCTCACCAGTACATTTGATAATGCCCACAGAGACTTGACAAATTATGTTCAAAAGTACTGCAGAATTTAACGGTTTAAAAAAAAAAAAAAAAAAATTTGCATTTTACAATGATTTTAAAAGCCTGTCATACTTACCTGCTCTGTGCAGTGTTTTTGCACAGAGCACCCACGATCCTCCACCTTGGCCACCCCCTTCCCAACCACACTTCTGGCTCTCCCCACCCCACCGAGTGCACACCATAGCAAGGCACTTGCTACGGGGGCCATGGTGCAGGCTCGCTCCCAAGTCTGTTCTGTACATCCACAGGACACACAGAGTGGGGCATGGCCCAGGCCCCACACTCTCCTCACTGGGGAGGGAGGTTCTCATGCACATCTCTAAATTGAGATGTGGCTCAGGTAAGTATTTACTTTTTTTGCATGCAGATGTTTTACCTCACTGCAAAGAATGCATGACTTAAAAAAACCTGCCTTTGCCTTTCTGCCCTTACAAACACTTAACCATTCAGTTTTGGTATGAATGGAATTTCCCAAATGAAAACCACATACACTTGAAAATTCGTACATATTCAGTAACTATGGCCAAAAGAGATTGTAAAATTGACTCCAACAATTAAAAAAAAAAAAAATAGATGAGAGATCATTCTGAAAATGAGTATTCTCAAAATTACATTCTACCAGTGTATGGTCAACTATATACTCAGAGTTGAAGAGTGACAGTGCATGAAACTGAAGCAACAAACCTAACTAAAGTACCAGACACTACACTCTAGAGCAGGCATGTCCAAAGTCCGGCCCGGGGGTCGGTTTAATACTGCCCTCCAACAGCCCTCCCTGCTCTGTGTAATGTGGCCCTCCCACGGCCCTCCCTTCTATGGCAGACTGTCTTCTGCTTGAGAGCAGTGCGCATGCGTGACTGCGCCGCGCTGGGAGCGACAGAGGGCGGTGACGTCAGGGCCGGGCTTCCAGCGTGAAGTGTGTTTCTCTTCCCCTCCCGGCTGCCGAGCAGAGACTTCAGCTCCAGCTACCTTTTTCACCCTTCACATTAGTGCAGGTAAGTTTTTTTTAATTTATTTTCAATACATTGTGAAAACGCAGCTGTCAGTTGATCTTAATGTTATGAAATGAGAAGTATGTCGTTTGCAATTAACTTGGCATAAAATAATTTATTTGCATTTAATTGTAATGGTTCAAAGAATGTTCGGAAAAATGTTCGGCCCTCCACCATGTTCACTTCATCCAGTCTGGCCCTCTTTGAAAAAAGTTTGGACACCCCTGCTCTAGAGTGTTATGCGATTGGGAACCCAGCAACAATTAAATAGGTTACCTTGAAATGCTGGAGGACAAACAATAAATGTCTGCTGGAATGGATCTGTCTGGGTGCAGAGCTGAGCTGCTCCAGGCTGTAGAGGGACACCTTGCTGTGTGACACCAGTCACTGGAGCTGCAGATGGTGGGTAAAGCGCTGACTGATAGTTCAGTAGGGAGACATCTGAATTTGCCAGGGAAAGTGTAGCGGTAGCAGATGAACTTGAAGCCAGTACGCTAGCCTAAAAAGAGGTGACATGATTGAAGGTGAGCTTGAGGATAAACTCCTTTACAGTACTCTAAAATAAAATTTAAAATCTGGAAATTTTCATAAAGCAAAAATGCTACAAAACGAATTTCAAAACCATGCCCAACTCCGGGATGATTTATAATCTTATATTGTATTCATACCCATTCATAAATCCACTGCAATTAAAAATTATTTTAACCATGTGATAGAAAATTATTTTACCACCTGTGATGTTATCACACAGCAGCTACCTATTAAGCTCTAAGCAGACGCCTACAGGGTGTGTGGCAGTATCGCATCACTCTATGTTATTGGACTAAATCTCCCATGATTCCAGCAATCTGGTTCCCGTTTTTGAGTTGCATAGTGGGCAGATTTACAGACCTCAGATCAGTGCTTAGAAATGAACACCATCCAAGGACAAAAACAGTATCCAGAGCAGAACAGTAGGATTTCAGAAGGAGTAAAGCAGAATTGCCCAACAATGCAATTTCCACACTTTCTATTACCAGTCACTATGGAAACGCTTTCTTGCCAGCATGAGAACCACATGCCAAGTAACCAAGTTTAAGGCTGGAAAGCAAAGCAAGATGCACATGTTTGCAACTTGCACTGCTCTTCAGCCAGGTCAGTTCATAAAAGACTACCACTGAGGGAGGACTGCTAATGCTGGTAAGCAAGAACTATCATAATGACCAGTAATATTAGCAAATGTGCAAGAATATAACTTACATTATACCAGGCATGTTTATTCCTTCTGGTACACTGGCTTCATATGGTTTGTTCTGCTCAGATACCATTTTTCCTTTAACTACCTCCAAGAGTAAGCAAGAGTTCCCAGACTAACTAGATACACGTGTCAATGTAGAGATTGTTTTTCAGTGTTTTTTCAATCACATCGATCTCCCTAACGTGATTGTAAACTCAACCAAAAAATCCAAAGGTTTATTATTTAACCGCAGTTCTCTGCCCAACACCCCCATCCACAGTAGTGTCCCCTGTCCCCTACAAGTACTGTCTTTTGCCCACTTCACATCATACCCCCCCCCTAGACACAGCAGTGTGCAGGTAGCACTTGCCTACCTTACAGCGGCTGTACAGCAGAGAGTAGAGTGACAGGAGCAGAGTACTGCATGGAGGGTGGGAGTGGGAGCTGCCAGAGTAAACTTTTCATATTAACAAGTAGGTAATATGTTGCTAGGACGATCACCTGTTGGTTAACTGCGGCAGCTCCTGCCCTTTGCCAGTCCTTTGCTGCCTCTCACTGTTAAGATAATTAGGCTTGGGGGGGGTTGGGGGCCTTCTTGATTGGGATCAGCAAAGTTATGTTCACAATCTGACAGCAGGCAATGGACATGTAGATCGCAGGGTCTCCAACCTTGGCTTTAAAACAACTTTAAACTGCTGTAAATCTCTTATGAGTGATTAAAAAAAGAAAAAGGAGCGCGGCGCTGATACCAAAAGAGCAGGAACGGGGCAGGTGGACTTAACACATTGGCACTGTAATAATCCTGCCCACAATTCTCTTTGTACTAACATGTGTATAACAGCAAAAAGCTGATAACTACAAGGGGGTGGTGATAGGACCGGTCACTGTGCAGACAGTGAGCAGGCAATTGTGTCTGGTCCTGGGTACAGAAATAGGATGACCGTGCAAAGAAACCAGGACTTTGCAAGAGCATTGTCATGGCCAAATATATCGGCACACCTGCATTTCTGTCAGATAATGCATCTCTTTGCCCAGAAAAATTGTTGCAATTACATATGTTTAGACATTTTCAGGTTTAATTCTTTTGTTTGTATTGGTATTACAAAGCAGAGAAGCAAAAAACCAAATCTGACAAGCCACGCAAAACGCCAAGAATGGACTGGACAAAAGGGCACCTTCTCAAAATTGTAATTGCATTCAAAATGTGTGATACTCCTGGAGTTTGTAATAAAACTCACCTGAATCAATTAACAGGTGCTCACAATATAGAAGTCACATCAGAAACCAGATAAAATGGTGAAAAATAGACAATCTTTCTGTTGTGCATGTGTGCCACATAGAGCATAAAGAGATAGCAGCAAAGAATTGTCTGAGGATTGGAGAACAAAAATTCTTAAGCATGGACAATCTCAAGGTTATAAAGTCCATCTCCACAGATGTTAATTTTCCCATGTCCACTGTGCGCAACAGTGTCAAAAAGTTTACAGCTAATCTCCCTGGACGTGGACAAAAGAAAAAATTGATCAAAGATAGCAAGGATGGATTGTCAGAATGGTGGATAAAGAACCTTGATCAACTTCCATACAAATTCAAGCTGACCTTCAGGCAGTGTACAACTGTCAGCTTGCACTATACATTGCCAACTGAAAGAAAAAGGACGCTATGGTAGGAGACCCCCACTGCTGACAAACAAAAAGGCCAGATTGGAGTTTTCCAAAACTTACCTGAGGAAGCCAAAATCCTTTCGGGAGAATGTGCTGTGGACAGACGAAACAAAATTACTGCTTTTTGGTAAAGTCCGTCATTCTACGGTTTTCAGAAAAAGCAATGAGGCCTTAAAGAAAATACAGTCTACAGTAAAACATGGTGCAGAATCACTGATGTTTTGGTGTTGCTCTGCTGCTTCAGGCACTGGATGTCTTGACCGTGTGCATGGCATGATGAAATCTGAAGACTACCAAAAGAATTCTGGGGTGCAATGTAGAGCCCAGTGTCAGAAAGCTGGGTCCCAGTCAGGAGTCATGTGTCTTACAGCAGGACAATGACCAAAGCACTCATCATAAAGAACCCAGAAATGGTTTCAGATAAAGCGCTGGAGAGTAATGAACTGGCCAGCAACGAGTCCTGATCTCAATTCCATAGAGCACCTGTGGAGAGATCTCAAAAATAGTTGGGAAAAATGACTCCTACTCTAAGAGACCTGGAGCAGTTGGCAAAACAGTCAAACAAAATTCCAGTAGAGGTTTAAGAAACTCATTGATGGTTACAGGAAGCGATTGGTTTCAGTTTCTTTCTCAAGGGGTGTGCTACCAAATATTAAAATTGAGGGAACCAATAATTTGGTTCAGTCCATTTTTGGAGTTTGTTTCTCCACTTTGTGTCATACCAATACAAAAAGGAATGAACATGAGAATGCCTAAACTTTTGTAACTGCAACAATTTTCTGGGCGAAGTGGTGTATTGTCTGACAAAAATGTAGGGGGTGCCAATATTTTTGACCATGACTATTACAGTTTAATGAAAATGTTTTTGCAGGACAGGTGAAAGGGGTATGTTATTGCCAATACACAAGCTGAATTTCTATTTTGCCTGGAGTTGGGTTTCACATTTCTAAGCTAACTTTCAACCTCAGTCTACAGCCACTAAAATATTCAAAGAGAAAAAAAAATGTAAATATTACTTTGACAAATTAGGAATGTTCTGTTCACCAACTATGAAACATCCCAAAAAATGTCAAAGATGCCTGCAAAGAAATGCAATTCAAGTTACAGATATCCTCAAACAGTAATTTGGTTTGTGCCAGGATACTTTAAGATTTTTTTTTCCCCTTACTTAAGGGGATGCAAGGAATACTTTTCTTACTCAAACATATGAGACTAGATGGTCAATATAGTAAGCGGATTGTCCCAATTAGAAGTTCAGAAAGGCTACAAATGCAAACGACAGTTTACTAAAATCCTTGCAATCCATATAGTTCACATGGATGGGACCATTCTGCTCTTAAAACACAAATGCTTCACTTTAAAAGCACTAGTCCACAATCTCACATGAAGCACTGGCCTTTTAGAACACTTAAATGTTTCAGGAGTTATACAGAGCACATACTTGCAACACATACCTGGTTGTGCACAGTGTTCAGCTGATTGTTGAAGCTCATCGTCAGATTTGTGCTTGTATTGGGAGCAACGTGAGTTGTAAAAGGACTCTTAATTTGGTTTACTGTATCATACATGTTGTTCCTTCGCTTGCAGATCTCCATGTTCTGGAAACAAGACTTCACACTACAGGGAAAGGTAACCAAAAATTAATGCATTTTAATTAAACTAAAATTACTACCATCTAAAAACCATATTTAAAATGTACCAAATCAAAAAAGGTAAATCCGTACACAGAATGCCATCAGTAAAAACATGTCTAAAATGGGGGTTGTCAACCTGTCGATAGCAGGCAGGTGACAGGTAGATCTCGATCTCGTCCCAGTCTTCTCAACCCTCAAACTGACAAAGCTGCACAGGAAAGCAGTGAGCTGCAGGGAAACTGTCAAAACAAATCCTAGCAGGCAATGCCTTTTGCGCATTTACAGCTGAAAGGCGTGAACCCCTCTGCCACCTATAACAGCTTTCAGGTGGAATAGTTTAGGTGGATTTGGGCTCTTATCCAAATGCGCATGAGTTTATCCTGAGTGTACGATGCTGATCCCAACCAGCCCCTCCCGTACAGTCGATCCAAGGTGCTTGTGAATGGCAACATGTGGGATGGACAAGAGGAAGGCCGGCAAGGATTAAGACTACAACAGCAGGTAGATCTGCCACAGCAGCGCCCCTGCGCTGCTCTCCATCAGGAAACCAAGTGTGTCCACCTGATCCCTGTCCACTGCCCCACCCCACGGCTGACCCCTATCCACTGCCCTACCCCATGGCTGACCCCTGTCCACCTACTACTGCTCTTTAGTGACACCTGGGCACTGCCCTACATACTTACACTAGCCAGAACTGAGCAACTAACCAGGCCAGAAACTAGTCGAGCAAGTCAGCCAGCAGTACCTTCATGATTGACTCCTGCATCAGACTTGTGTAGGTATCCAACTATTTCCCAGACATGAAGTGGTGAATGAAAGTGCATGCAGAGTTTCTCAATGTACTTTTAAGGAAGACCAAGTTTATTTTTTACAGTGACAGTTTAGTTTTTAGAAGTTCTCTGTGCTGTTTATTGGGGGCTTGCTAGTTAACTTCTTAAAAAAAGGGGTGCAGCACTCCAGGTAATCTTTGATCTCTATATAATCCAGGCAGATCACTTCTCAAAGGTTTCCTACTCCAGGTCTAAAGCATGCAAAAATAATTTATACTTACTGATTACTGTGTGGAAAATCCAATAGATGAGTCATAGTAACAAAAGGATGGTTCAAGGTTTTCATTGGCGTTATCCTCTTATCTGCATCAATGGTCAACATTTTCTTCAACAAATCTATATATTCTCTTCTGTCTGCCTTCTCAGCCAACATATCTGTGCCCTCTAGGTCTGTAGACATATTCACCTAAGCGTTAGAAAACAAACGTCAATAGAAGCATAGTACCTGCATGTGCATGTGCACCTGCACTACCTAGTCTCGCAAACCTATTAGACTTAACGGCAATGATCCCACCAAAACAATTTCATAAATGAGAGCTGAGCATTTTACTTATGTGTATTGTTTTCGTACTGTCGCATGTTCTGTCTCCCTTTGTAACGTACAGTGCTGAGCGAACGGTTGGTGCTTTATAAATACTGTATAATAATTACATATACACTTTAAAATTGAAAGTCTCCCAACTACATCAGTTTTTTTTTTTTTTATTCGAGTGTTCAGCATCCAATACACACATGCTATTTCCAATGTTGGCGAATCCCACCAAGTAGTGAAGAAATTTCATACTTTCTGCAAACGTTTTTTCCTGAAGCCCATTGAGGGGCAAAGGAATGTAGTAGTTCTTAGAAATCAGTTATACTTCTGCCTTCATCTATGCAGTACATAAGATCAATAAAGAGGGGACCCGAGTACCCTCAATGGGCTTCATTAAAATATTTTTGCATTAATCCCATGTGTGTGTACACACACACCACTGTAGAAATGTAGACATTTGGAATGTCCAAAAGCAGTCCAAACTGAGGGGTAGGCAATTCCCAGAGATTCAAAAGGATAAGGAACCTATATTAAGCAAACACGTGTAGCCAAAAGGCAGGGAAACAAAAAAAAAATGCATTTAGGATAAAGGCCAAAATCTTACATAACCTATGACTTCAAGTAAGGGAAAGAGGAGCAAATGAGTACCCAGACCGAGCTCTCAAGATTTGATCCAATATGACATGGATTAACTTCCACATGTGGTTTTCCACACAACTGATAGTGACAAATCTCCACTACCCCTAGTCTATGCATTGATGGCTTAGGAATTCTGCCTGCCAAATGTCCATTTCAGGGATGGGAAAAGCAAGTCAGCTGGAATAGACTTCATTCATGGAATTCACTTAGAACAATCTGACTTCTGGAGCCTCTGATGGTTTGTGCAAGCCACTGCTGTGACCTTTACCCTGACTGGGTGACCTAGCAGAAAGGAGGTCCAGCATTGTACAGACAGTGATGGCACACCTTTACAGGTTGCTGATAGGAAGTTTAGACTCCTGTGGTGACCAGGTCCAGTGGACAGTTAGGTAACTAAACTACGCTCTAGGCTGTGTTGTCACCATCCTCCAGGGCCTGTGAAGGAAAATGTTCCTTCACAGCAGAAGTAATACAAGGATTGGCTTTGTTTCACATAGTATGTTGTATTGAAGAGGTCCGGATTGAAACTGGGTTAAATCCAATCTCTCCAAGGAGGCAACCATCAAGCCCCGAAACCTTATGCAGACGTGAACAGAGTAGTGCCGTTTCAACCCAAGGGTCCTTATATGGGACCTTTTTATGAGGACTGAAATTTCTGGCTTGGGCTGTGTCCAAGGTTAGATCCGGGTACTCCAGATGTGAGGACTGGGAAAGCAAACTTAAGTTGATGATCCAAAAGTTTAAAAACTGAATATTTCTCTTGACACTGGCAGCAAGGGTTGTAACCGAGTCTTTCAGCAGGTGGTTGTCTAGGTAATACAAACATGAATTCCCTGGGTTTGTACAGAAGCCAGAAGTGGGGCAAACACTTTAGTGAACCCTCGGGGAGCAGTGCCTGAATGGCACAGCTACAAATGGAAAGTGTTGGCTTCCCACAACAAAATGCAGAAAACTGAGCAGGGATGAAGAATTTGTATTGCCTAATGCCCAGGACATGTAGTTCCAGGTGTTGGGCAGGTTGCTTTCACCTGACAGGTGAGCCCTGGTGCTTGCTCACAGCAGAGTTCAACATTGAAAAAAAGCTTTCGGACGGCAGTGCTGCAGCCCAATTGCTGTCACTCAGTCCATCAAGGGCACAGGACTGGCTCTGTGTGTGTAGGCGGCTAGAGGGAAGGGAGGAAAGCGAACCTGTCCACTCCCCTCCTTGTCCTGACCTGGAAGTTACATTTGAAGTCACTTCCAGGTCACCATTCACAGATTTCCAGCCATTGAAGCCGGGAAAGAATCTCATGCAGTGTGATGTACACTGCATTACATTCAAGGGAGCACAGGGGAGATATGCAGGGTCTTAGATCCTGGATGTCTCATTAAAGAGAACCTGTCACCAAAAAATCATCACATAGGGGACTTTGTCCCCTATGTGATGAAAATAAGGGAAGTAAAACTTTTTTTTTTTTAATGGTTAAAAAAAAAAAAAAAAAAAAAAAAAAAAAAAAAAAAAAGCGCACGCCGGGGTGCCTACCCATGAAAATGTTCACTGCGATACATAGGTTACATCGCCACGCATGCCAGATTGAGTACCAATTCTAGCATGAGACCTCCATAACACTATACTGATGACCTAAAAAGGAGGTTGTAAAAAAAAAAAAAAAAAAAAAAAAAAAGGGTTGCCTATAGACAATATAGGGTACTGAAGTTTGTCACCATTTCAAGAGCACAAGCAAATTTAAGGTTCGACATGTTGGATATCTATTTACTCAGTGGAACCTCAACTTTTATATATTTTACAAAAAAATAGAGTAATTTGTTGCTTTTTTTTGTGCCCTAAATGAGTATTTTTTACTGAAATTTTGCATTTCCTAGACCTTTGCAATATTATGCAACTTAAAAAAAAAAATGGAACTACCACTATTTTATTCTTTAGGGTCTTTGCCTTCAGAAAATATATGTTTGGGGGTTTTGTGTAATCTTCAAGCCTAAAAATGTTTAAATGTGTGCAAAAATGGCTCTGGCATCAAAAAGGATAAGCCCAAAACTCCCGTTGCCTGACCAGCACCCAATCAGTGCTCATTACTCTGCATGGTCTCTCCCCTCCCTGCTAGTTCCCCGGGGTGTGGTGCTGGAGACAGGCAGCGAGGGGAGGAGGAGACAGAGTGCAATGTTAAAAAAATTAAATGTTAAGTCACCATAAAGCCCCTTTTGATTTTAAAACCCCCAGACGTTAACAGGACCTCCGATTTAAATATGGTTTTGGTTAAAATGGATTTTTTTTTTTTAAATCATGAGAAGTAGATTGTCATGAAGGACAAGTAGATTTTTTTTTTTTTTTTTTTTAAATTTCCACATCCCTGTTGATGTGAGGGGAAAATAGGAAGGTTGTATATGTGTGGATGCCAGAAATTTCCCTCGTCTTGAAGCAATGAGAGATCTTTTTAAGTCTATCTGGAATTTTGGTATACAAAGAAAATTTGTTTAGAGATTTTATGTCCAATATTGGACAGATGCCCCCATTTGGTTTTGGAACTGAATAGGTTTGAATAGAAACCTTGACACCATTCAAAAGAACTGGTACCACCAGTTGACTGAAGTAGGTGCAAGGCAGTCATTAACTCTGCATTCTTTTGGACTGAAGCTGGCAGATTAGAAGGCAAAAAAGCAAGGAGGGGGCAGAGATGGAAACTATTTTGTACCCCTTTAAAATGACAGCCTAGACACAGATCCAGGATGTCTTAGACTGGAAATGCCAACAAATGTCCCCACACTTCTGAGTCCAATAGTGAGGTGTCCCTTCAGCGTGTGGAGGACTTCTGGACAGGTTTGGTGGACTCGTTATGAGCGGAGGTGCCAAGGCTTGGAAATAGGTGTTATCTCCCTCTGAAAGTGATGGTTGCCTGTTTTAAATCACTGCCACACTGAGTCCCTGACTTAAACAAGTGCACAGATTAGGTAGTTCATGGTTTCTTCCTGAGCAGACCGCTTATAGTCTGCAGGAGTTCAGCAGATCGTGGGTGCAATGCTTTACAGGAATACCACTTTTACCTGCAAAAAGAGGTGCATTTATTTATACAAATGCGAACTTATCCTCTTTGCAACTAGCAAATAATTTCAACGTATTGAGATCATTTAAAACTGCACTTAGACTTAGTTTAGACTTCGTCTTAGTACCAATCTACCTGGCACTGTTTAATACAGAAAGTCAAGACACCAAGGCTACCTAGACGGATAGCAAAACATTTTATTCCCCACAAGACCTAAAAAAAAAAGAAAAACACTAAAATAACTCAAAATATTATAATTAGTAGGGCTGACATGTGTCTTACATATTGAAATGATGCATTAACTTTAAAGTGATGGCACTGCAAACAGATTTCAAAATAAAGATATAACCCTTGAGTGGAAATACCTCACCTGATGCCCAATGCCACTAAACTGACTTTTGGGGGTGTTAATCTTCTGTGTCCTATGCAGCACTACTAGTTTCTCCTATTAACTTTATCACTATGGGTAACAATAGTGAAGTGGAGGTTGGCAGGAGGAACAAGAATGTAGCAGGGGACAAGAGGTGGACAATCCCACAAGTATCCGTATCCCGGCAGAATTTGAATTAAAGCAGCATCAGAGCAGCCTTCAGCAGCACAGGAAGCTGGAGAGGAATTGACACCGACACTTACAGACTTTGTAATGAAATCTGCAGTATATTGGCAACAGGGTTGAAATGAAATCTTCAGTATATTGGCAACAGGGTTGAAATGAAATCTTCAGTATATTGGCAACAGGGTTGAAATGAAATCTTCAGTATATTGGCAACAGGGTTGAAATGTCAAGTTTACTTGGGAGAGAAATTTTACAGCTACGTTCGTACCACAGAAAGTGATTCTGAAGGTCTTCACTTTACACACGATGCAGTATATTGACTTGACACCTTCATGCAGCATTAGATACACAAAAGTAAAAAAAAAAATCATAATTGTTTAACAGGAAACAGCTGTTCGATTTCCTTTTTAGCAGGTCCCACAGCCTTTAAGAAAATGCCTTCTACTACACAAAAAAAAAAAAACAAATCCCCTAATCTAGGCCACAGAAGATAAGACACCAGGCAGTATTACTGAACAAAGTTTTAATGTTAACAAGTGTACAGGTGTAATATCAACAAAAACGGATGTGTGTAGGTGGCGCGGTAGAACTGAATGGGTGATGCAGATTACACAGTTCACTGGATAAGTTTGCAATAAGGCTATTTTTTGTATCATGATGGGGTAAAAAAAAAAAAAAAAAAAAAAAAAATACATAATACAAAACACACATTAATAGCCAAAAGTATTGGGACGACCGCCTTTACACACCCATGAACTTGGCACCCCAGTCTTAGTCTGCTGCTATAACAGCTTCAACTGAAACATCAACTTCAACATGAAATGGTCCAAAAATGTCTTGGTATGTTGACGCCTTAGAAGTTCCCTTCACTGGAACTAAGGGGCCAAGTCCAACCCCTGAAAAACAACCCCACACCATAATCCCACCTCCAAACTTTACACTAGGCACAATGCAGTCAGGCAAGTATTGTTCTTCTGGCAACCTCCAAACCCAGACACGTCCATCTGAATACCAGAGAAGCATGATTTATCGCTCCAGAGAACACGTCCCAACTGCTCTAGAGTCCAGTGGCGGCGTGCATTACACCATCGCATCCAACACTTTACATTGCACTTAGTGATGTAAGGCTTGGTTGCGGCTGCTCAGCCAAGGAAACCCATTCCATGAAGCGCTCTATGCACGGTTGTGCTAATCTGAAGGCCAAACGAAGTTCGGAGGTCTTTAGCTATTGACTCTGCAGACAGTTGGCGACTTCTGTGCACTTCAGCATGCGTGGACCCTGCTGTCATTTTACGTGGCCTTGCTTCCACTTTGTTATAACATCACTAACAGTTAACTACGGAATATTTAGTAGCAAGGAAATTTCTCAGACAGATTTATTGCACAGGTGGCAACCAATCACAGTACCATGCTTGAATTCACCAAGCTCCTGAGAGTGACCAATTCTTTCACAAATGTTTGTAGAAGCAGTCTGCATGCCTAGGTGCTTGATTGTATACACCTGGAACCATGGAGGTGTTTGGAACACCTAAATTTAATTAATTATTTGGAGAGGTGTCCCAATACTTTCGGCAATATAGTGTGTAACGTTACATACATACACTAACATGTATGAACGGTGTGTACTGAGCTGTATTTCTCTGATATGTAAACAAATGCATTCTGTATGCAGGCCAGCTAATCAGCTGACCAACCAATCGATAGTTGACAACTATTCTCATAATTATGCTTTCAAGATAAGTCAACAATGCGCAGCTTACATTCATGTAATGTACAGCACCCAGTGTTAAATTTCAATAGAATGGAGATTAAAGAGTGCAGATTTGGGGAATCATAGCACTTTGTGTCCCAGAGACACAACAGTTATAAAAAGGAAACCTCTGGTGACAGCTGTGATGATATTTGCAAAGTTTTCCTATACTTTGCATTTTGGATCTTTTCTTAGGCCTCTTTCATACATATGGCAGTCCCTACCACATCTTAAATGCAAATCGCTTTACAGGAAGCAGTGTATACAGGCATTCAGGAGCCAATACCATCACCTCTTGAACACCTGTTTTATTTTTGTATTTTGTGGATTTTCTTTTACCAGCCAAAGATGGGAACGCTTGGCTCATAGTTGCAGGGCTGTCTTGACTTCCCTGCAACTATGTGTATTCAAGCAGACAGCAGTAAAAGCATTGCCCATTTTTACCACCCCCGACCACCCATGTGAGCTTTAGAGTAAGCTTAATGTAAGCTCTGAAGAAAATTCATGGACGAAGGTGAGAGTCAAAACGTTTGACTTGAATAAGTTGAGTTCTACTTTAAAATTCATAGTTCTATCACTAAGGGACTAAACATAGGTTTTTAACTAACCTGAGCCATGTCATCCAAGCAATTAAAAATATACTTCCGAGCTTCCTTCGATTTGATTCCAGTTTCCATTTCATGTTCTTCTGGGGTCTAGCAAAGGCAGGTGGGGAAGAAAAAAAAAAAAAAAACATTTAATGTGTATATATTTTTATAACATAATCATAACAAGAGTATTTCATCATCAACCCCACTCAGTAAAGCTTACCATGACATGTTTTCTTTCACTTTGTGGAAGACCAAGTAAATTCTAAGTTTAAATATAAAGGAGGTACCCCGGTAGCACATCTGCAAAACGGATCTCTTTAAACAATCTTATTTCCAGTGTTCAGTGTTTTATCTAAATCACATGGTATTTGGTCATATGGTCTCAACTGAATGGATATTTGACCAAACACGAAGACTAAGTTCCTGAGTACCAATCGTCTCTTTAGCCAAAGTTTGTGTTTAAGGGATCATGGCATCCTCTAAGAATTCTGTGTGAAGTATCTGCTGATGCCTTGTATTAAAGTAAAGCCAGCAGCAGATATTACACTATTACACAGAGCTGCAGCTCTAAGGAAACTTTCACTATTTTGAACAAGCTTTTTTTTTTTTTTTTTTTTTTTTTTTTTTTTAAACAAGCTTCACCCACTGTTCATTTTGAAGTGACAGATCACCCAGAACTGCAGCTGTCTTAGCAGCTGCTTTTGCACAGCCCAGCCAATGGATCGCACAGCACCACAGCTCTGTGTATGCTTTCACTTTTCAGCGAGCAGGAGTGGGAGCAGTGCTGTGTATAAGTCAGCACGACATAGCGGATCATTCACATAATTGAAACGTCCCACCTGTCCAACCATGCCACTTAGAGGCAGATTTAAACAGGACCAAGCATTATATGAATTTGGTCCTCTGGGGAGCTCAACATTAATGGTTAGAGAAATAGTGGGGGAGGTATTGTTTCCATATTTGTGAGACACCAGTACAGAAAAAGCAATCAGTAAATGAAGACCGAAAACTGAAACCACCTTGTCTACATACTTGATCCAGATCATTCAAACCAAAGAAGCCAGAAAACCAAGAGCCAGGCAGCCAGCATTTTCTGAAACCAGCCAATATATTTACAGATTATTCTCGTTTCCATATAGATATTACGTTTAATAAACTGCCCCTTTAAATTTACAACGCACTGGTATTTAAGGTTTAATTTAGTCCTAAAATATTGCTTTATCTTGTAAATGCTAGTCTGAAGAGTGCGAGGTTTAGCAAGACCTTAAAAAATAAAAACTTATTAAGCTTCAAAATCACCTCTTGAAGCCCTTAGGCCTAGTTTACACTTGTGCTGAAAGCAGTTGAGAAGAATTTTTAAAGCTCTCCTACTACCCACTGCAACACCTGTAATATAGTTTAATAACAAAAATTGAGAGAGAAAACATAAGTCAACAGGGGGGCGGCAGCACCCCCGAAGTCAACAGAACATGATTTTTCTTTTTTTTTTCCCATCGGCAAAATACCAATAACCCTATGCTTGACTGATACATTTCAACGGCCAATCTATCGGTGCATCACTAGCAAAAATTATACCCCCCCTCCGTCAAGTTAGGCTGGCAGTACCGTCAAACGTGCACCATTCAAGTGAATAGACCATGTCACAACCACAAGCCCAATGCTAGGCTCAACACTGGGGCATGGTATTCCCACTCAAAAATCCCTGTGGGGCTATATAAAGAAAAAAAAAAAAAAAAAAAAAGGCAGTATCATCTTTTAAAGACTGTCTATCTCTGAAAAGCGGTCTACCTCAGACCACTTTTCAGACACTGCCACTAGTGTGAACAAGTCTAGAAAAAGAACATGGTCACTTTAATGCAGCCCATGTCAGTAGCACATACCTCTGTTCCTCCTTGCACACTGCCACTCCATTTAGCATCTAGAATGTAATAAAGTCCTGTGTAAGCTCCTAAACGCTATAATTGATAGTGCTGCGACAATTACCAAGCACCAGATCTGTCACTTGAGAGGAAAGAATAAAAATCCCCATACAAGGTATTTTCTTTACTCCTTGAGGTTGAACAGTGGCTGCTGCTGGTGGAAGAGCATTAAAGCAAACCAGTTATGCCCTGCATGGACAATGCACAGGTTACTTGTTAAAGTATCATTCATCTTCAGTATTGGAATGTTAATACAGTGAAGCAGTAAAAATCTAACTCACATTTGTACCTATTGACACTAGAAAAAAAAATTAATCTTCAATCTTTTGCTACGACAGACTGAAATCTTGACTCCTGCCATTACATTCTATTGATCATACCACAAAGGGAAAAGAATCCAGAGATGCCTTTATCCCATTACAGCAAAAGGCACAGAGCCACACTGCATTCATTAATCCCTTTATTACCATCACAACGATCAAAAGGCACAAAGACTATGACTGAGTGTGCTTTAGCCTACAATCTCCGCTGTCCATTGACAGCTGGATCATAAGCATTGTGTACAAGCTGGGTGCAGGCACCAACAGTAACCAAATAGATGAACAAACACTCTTCTAATAACTGCTTAACCTAGGGGCCATTTTAGTACAAAGGCCAGCAGGAGGGTGTTTAACCCAGTGAAGAGTAACTTTTTAAAGTAACATTTTAAAGAATTGCAGCAAAACCTAACTACTCTTGAAAATGCCCCCCAAACACTTATTCTGACTAACCTGTGTAAGATAAATCTGTATACCAACCTATTTTTGAGGCTGCTTCGGGTCTGGGCATGTCATCTTCCCTGTGCTAGTCAGCATGGACTGCAGGGCAGAGGAGAGAGTGTTGACAACGGCTGGTAATGTCAGTGAGGTCACCACAGGATCCTATGGCCCATCCATTATCGGCACTCCCTCCTGTAGCCACCACTGTCAAAGGAGAGCAGGATCATGTGACTGGCCCAGAGCAGCCTCAAAATAGGAAGTATACAGATCTTCCTTACATAGGTTTGTCAGAATAGGTGCTAGGAGGGGGAGGGAACATTGAAGAGTAGTTACAGTAGGTTTTGCTTTAATCTCTACTTTAAAGCCAGGGTTAAACCACAATTGTGTGTATAAGGCTTAATGATTGTCAATGTATTTGCATGGATATTAGGAATCAGGTTCACAGCACTACCTTTAACCTCCACAATGGATAGCCCAAGTCTGGATCTCTGTTGAAAAATCTTGAGGTCTTGGTTCCAGCACTGAGAAGATATTCTGCAGGTAGTCCTTGAGTCTGAGAGATGTACCTTATCTGAAAAACACAAACAAATTATAGCAATTTTACATATGCTGTTGGTAGATGTTAGGACTACAGCTTTAATGCTAACAGCTGCTAATAGATCATTACTTTTTGTGTTGGGGGGGCTAATGATGCTCAAAACTTTTCACCCAAGCTTCATACATTTTCCAATTGAATCCAACTAGCAAAATGTGCAAATCTTAGACTTCAGTTTCCACTTTGAGAATCATGTACAGATTTAGAGAAGTAACAACTTACACCTAAGACAAAAACTACCAAAAGCAGCTGGTTTTAAAAATGGGGAATATTTAGCCGCCCTACCTTAAAAAATGCTTATTTTGGATTTAGACTGAACAGAGGTCACCTCTTGATTTCTCTTATTTTTGTTCTTGCACACAACACTTAAGGTTTTGTGCAAGATGCCTGACATCGATTTTAAAGCTCATATCCACAGGCATTAAATACGCATGGCATGTGTGTACACAGCCAATGCACCTCGACAAACATTGCATTATTTCCTACTGAACATATGAAAAAACTCACAGCCACATTCTCCTAAAATGTACCATAAAAAAAAAAACCCCACAAAAAAAAAATTGGCTTTAAAGTTTTGGATGGAATGGGGAAGGGTTTGCAACCGTCAAGTTTATTGTGTGCATCTCTGAAGGTCAGATTCACTTTTTGTACCAGTAGCCAAAGTCACCGAAACTGAAAGCAAAGAAAGAAAATCCAATTTTTTTTAGTTGTCGCAGCATCAGAAAGAACCAGTCTCTTCCGACTGGGACAACGGTTGGACAGACTGAATGAAAACCTCCCCAAAAGAAACACAGACGGAAGAAAAAAAAAACTGATTGAGTTTAAAGCGATACTAAAAAGGTTCTTTTTTTTTTAATACGTCACACTTGCCTGCTTTGTGCAGTGGTGTTGCATAGAGCAGCCCTGATTCTCTTCTCAGGTCCCACGCTAGCGCTCCTGGCCCCTCCTCCAAGTGCCACCACAGCAAGCTGCTTGCTCTGGGGGGCACTCGTGCATGCTCGCTTTCAAGCTTCAGTGTGTTTAGATATACTTTCAGAAGACCTAGCACATTAACTTTTGGCCGTTCATTATTAAATGTACCAAACCATTTAGTTTGTTCTAAAGTTTAGTCAGTCAATATGATTGAAGGATAAGGTAACACATTCTAGTTTCCACACTTGCAATCAAACAAAATTGAAAAATACACAGTAATATATCTACATGATTAAATATGATTGTTGAATGGGTCTGTATTGCAATCTGTTATCCAATACACATGCAGATAATTATGGCAGACAAAATTGAGCTTACAAAAAAAAAAAAAAAAAAAAAAAAATGTAAGGGCTTTGTTTGTGATCTTCAGTTCAGTTGGATCAAATGATGAATTAAATAATCATACTGAAGTGTGTATCTGCCATAACTTTAATTTTCTGTTTGGTATAATCACTCCTAAGGCTGCATATAGCTTACAGGAAAGCTGCCTAAATAACCAAGCTGGGAGATCCATTTGTGCTATGGTTTTTACTGCACAGAGCTGATCTATTGTAACTGACTTTGCAGCATATAAATGGTAGAATAATCAAGGCAGCCAATTGCAGATAGACCTAGAACAAAACATCCTACTGGCCAGAAAAAGAATGGTTATAGTCCAGCATCTGTTATAACACCAAATTATTGCACATCACGCTGCAGGACAAAAAAAAAAAAAAAAAAAAAAAAACAAGCTTCTTCAACCTGGATGTCGATATTGGAGGATGCTATTCCAAAAGCAAAATCCTATTTGATTTTAGGAGGGAGAAACAAGCAGACTCCCCACCCACATTACAGATAGGTTTCTCAGAATACTGGCAGATTCTCAGTTAAGGGAAACCATCCAACTAGAGCTGTATATTTTTTAACTACTGAAAGTCAGCAGAGTTCTTCTGGAAATTTACTGGTCTACACAAGATGAATGCAGTAGGCAAATCATTTACCAGAGATAAAATACCAAACCACCAACATCTGTGACCACAACATAGGTGCTGTCAGATTCCAGTCTTTAGTGTAGATTAGAAACAGGTACAGCCTATAGGCTCCTGTAATCAGTTTTTTTTTTCTTCAGTTTCAAAAAACTGCTTTAAGCTGGCCATAGATGAATAGCATTTAAAAGTTTTAGTAAAGTCTTTGGAAAAGGTGTATGAAAATTCTCAGAACATTTGTTTGACATCCAAAAGATTGTTTGCTTTTAAACATTTGATTTTGGAATGAATGAACTTTGCCAAATGAAAGCCACATACACTGCCAGAAATTCATTCGAGGAAAAAATGTCCACCCTGCTTCTTCAAATTTTCTTTTCACTGCAGTCAAAAAAAAAAAAACAAACAAACATCGATTTGACCAACTAATGGTTAGAAAAGACAAAATGAACTCTTTTAGAACCTTCCCCCAACCTTCCCCCCCCCCCCAAGAATCTTCATTCAAAATTCTACCCATCTATGGCCAGCTGTAGTCCGAGCATAAGCCAGAGTTTGAGGGTTTTATATTGCATGTTTTTATGTGCAACTTTAGTAAAAGAGAAAAAATGGTTAGTGAAATGGTTTCCAGTTTCTTGTTGGCTTGCAGCAGTAGTACACTGCATAAGTGAAACCTGAAAAACAGAACACCAGACATTGTGTGTATCCACACATGAGCTTCTCCATTTTCACAGCTAATTGACAAAGTAGTTGTTCAGCGTTTCAGATCAGGTTTACATCAGGATCAGGTAAGGTTTTATACAGATCACAAGTAAAAGACCTGTGCGATTAGAAAGAGTTCACATAGTCAAGGAGCCTGAATTCACACCTGAGCTGGACCACACTGCTCAGAAAACTGACAGCACTCAATTTGCATTGAATCTGCCCTGGACACATGTGAACAGGCGCAATAGAAAGCAATGTTTTCACAGGTGATGCGAATTGGATACAGCTCAAAACACATCAAATCTGCATGTGTGTGAACCGGCTCTGAATCGAGAATCAGGTCATGAACAGCAGGCAACTAGGGAAATAATGTCTGCAGCAGGAATCAGTTTTCCAGGCACTGCATAGACCAGTAAGAGGATGGGTAGCAGAAGTGTGCTGCATGGCAAAATGAATTGCCAATAAAGAATGGAAAGTGCTGTTGAAATCCTGAGTATAGGATGGCAGACAGTGCAAAATATGCTGTCAGACAGCAAGTGAAAGAATGAGTTGGCAGGAACAGGTGTGCACCATTTTTCCAATGATTGGTAGTGCTTTACCATGCCTTGTGCAGTACTGACTTAAAGCGTTATAAGGCTTTTTCAAAACCTACTCTTTGCTGCAAAAATCACATTTAAGGGCAGGCTGAATGTGTTTTGCAGTAATGTAACAAACATGAAACCGTTGTAAGCAATATAAAAAATCAACAATCGGAATGCGCTAAATTATATCAAAAAATTTACTAATTTGTGTATAAAAGTCCAAACATCCTAAATACAAAAAAATCTCCAGTGAAACAATCCATAAATTGGTGTAGAAAAATGTGTAGAAAAAATGTCCAACACCCCAAACGAAATTTCTTCTTAACATATAAGTGCACCGTGCTTAATCCACCACCAAGTGAATGGAATAAACTCACCAGAGCTCAATGCTGATCAAATTATAAATCAGCACAAGCGTGTTTGCTCTGGGAGCGATGAGAGAAGACAGATCATGAAGCAACACTCTGTAGCATGGACACATCCAGATACCAGGAGCAATACTCTGCAGTAACTCTGAAGTATGGCCAGGACTCCTTATATAGCGATCATCCTCCAAATATATAGTAATACCACTCAAAAATAAAGGAAAGGCATGAAGGTGCAGTAAGTAAAAACCATTTAACTTTATTACAATCTCATCTTACTCACAAAGTTAAGTGTCCACCTGACACTGGTATAACAGGCGATCAGATACAAGGAATGGACGAGCCCCGTTCACCGCGGACACCTCGCCGACAGCTCCAGGGAACGTCCTGACGTCATCCAATAGGCTCCGCCCTACGCGTTTCGTCACTCTGACGTCCTCACGGAGCGGAGCCTATTGGATGACGTCAGGACGTTCCCTGGATTAAATTTAAATTTCGTTTGGGGTGTTGGACATTTTTTCTACACATTTTTCTACACCAATTTATGGATTGTTTCACTGGAGATTTTTTTGTATTTAGGATGTTTGGACTTTTATACACAAATTAATTAATTTTTTGATATAATTTAGCGCATTCCGATTGTTGATTTTTTATTTTTCACCAATATTTTGGGTTAGAGGTTTGCTGCTGTAGAAGAGTGATATTTGTTTGGCGCTTTCTTTTCTTTGGGTCATTGTAAGCAATATGCCTTGCATGGTTTTCATGGTGGGCCAATTTGGCAATACATAAAATTAGGATCCACACAGTAAAAACGGGAGTCAGCAACCTGTAAATCGAGATCAACCAGTAGATCGAGGCCAGGTGACAGATCTCAGTCTGGGCTTGTTAACCCACCATCCCAAACCATTAAACAGTGTGCAATGCAGAGGAACTACTTGCAAAGTTGGAGCTGTAGTAGGGAGCAAGAGCCGCATAAATCAATGCCTCCCCTGTAGGTGCTGGCTCCTGTCCCGTGTGCAGAGTGATACCAACTGCACTCCACCTCTTATCCTGGCTAGGTCTCCAGAGTGGTGCCAGCAGCAAGAAAAAGACAAGATCTGCATGTCAGTGTGAAACAATACACTGGGCATAATAGCATAGGGCTGCCTTCACACTGATGCATTTGCGGTTTACCAAAACTGCATGTGCAGCTTCCAGATGGGTTTGCTGTGCTTCGCCAGACTTCTATTATATCATGCGGGTTTGGTGCACTTTCCGAAAGCGCACAAAAACTCCTGAATGCAGAATACAACAGAAATCTGACCAAAGCGCAGCTAACCCAGGAAACTCACAGATACACTGTGCTGCACCTGCAAAAGTGTGAACGCAGCCTTATAGGGGGCTCAGAACAGTAA